TAAAGCAAGTTGTAGAACGTCTGTGAATTTCATTGAAGTTTCATCAACATAAATACACCCAAAAAAATGCGTAGGCGCTTAGAATAATATGGCCTTGAGTTTAAATTGTTTTTTTAATTACTGCTGATTAATTTGTTTCTGACGCATATTTTTTTTTTACAATTAACAATCGCCTTAATTAGGAATTACTAGGAAGATGTAGATGTAGATGTAAATGTAGATAAAGATGAAGATGAAGATGTAGATGTAGATGTAGATGTAGTTGTAGTTGTAGTTGTAGATGTAGATGTAGATGTAGATGTAGATGTAGATGTAGATGTAGATGTAGATGTAGATGTAGATGTAGATGTAGATGTAGATGTAGATGTAGATGTAGATGTAGATGTAGATGTAGATGTAGATGTAGATGTAGATGTAGATGTAGATGTAGATGTAGATGTAGATGTAGATGTAGATGTAGATGTAGATGTAGATGTAGATGTAGATGTAGATGTAGATGTAGATGTAGATGTAGATGTAGATGTAGATGTAGATGTAGATGTAGATGTAGATGTAGATGTAGATGTAGATGTAGATGTAGATGTAGATGTAGATGTAGATGTAGATGTAGATGTAGATGTAGATGTAGATGTAGATGTAGATGTAGATGTAGATGTAGATGTAGATGTAGATGTAGATGTAGATGTAGATGTAGATGTAGATGTAGATGTAGATGTAGATGTAGATGTAGATGTAGATGTAGATGTAGATGTAGATGTAGATGTAGATGTTGATGTTGATGTAGATGTAGATGTAGATGTTGATGTTGATGTTGATGTTGATGTTGATGTTGATGTTGATGTTGATGTTGATGTTGATGTACAAAAAGTGCAATGTCTATATATTATGTATATGCCATTTAAATTTAATTTATGGTTAAATTACGTTTAAGATTACAAATAAAAATATTTCCTTCTATTTTAAGTCCAACATTTTCATGTTTGCTGCGTCCATCAATAGATGTATATATTTCTAATATATGCATACACACGTTTCTTCTTTCTTTTATTATTAAATTAGTTCAAAACTTGACGAACTTGCTAACTTTGCAATAAAAAAAATTGACAGAAAACTATATTTTCGTGTTTTTTTTTAACCAGTAAATAAATTTACTTATTTTTACCGTAGTGTTTGACTAAAATAGATGATACCTATATATGCTTTGTTTTACCGTAGTTGCTGACTAAAATAGATGTTAACTACTGATAATTTGTTTGACCTTAATGTTTGTTGAAAAAGATGCTATCAAACAGTTGCTTTGTTCCACCGTAATGCTTGACTTAAACAGATGTTAACTACAGATTAAAGTTAGGAAAGCTGTCGACAGCCCCCCATAAAAAGCGTTGGGCTAGAAAGGGAGGTCTTGAAGATAATATATTCGACTTTCGAAATATACTAGGCAATTAACGACCTATGGGTAATTTGTGATGGTTCACTGATCACAGCAGAGGTAATACAACAGGGAAATTGATTTTTTAGAGGTTGTTTAGTAAAGAAAAATAGGTCGAATGGTTTGACTTCTAACCCTACAGTCTCCAGTTCGAATCCCTAGCTTGAGCTCATTCCTGTGTCATCTCAGTTCTAATGGGTACCTGGCTCTCGATAAAGAAAGGCGGCTGGGCATAGTGCTGACCACATGACTACAGTAGACACCGAGGTCAATGAAAAGTGTCACATTACGTCAATCACCCCATTGACCGTAAGGGCAAGGCGGTTCAGTGCTAATCTGTTCTCCTCTATGTAACTTGCTGGTTTACGTAATGTTTCCCTTTTATTCGAACCACCAGGTTCAAACATGATGGAAAACTCAGTCAAAATAAGATCTGTTGTTATGGATCCTGTGTAGTTTAATTCTGTCTTCTGTATAGTTTTCTAGCTGGATTTGGTTCCATAGCCTTTGTCAAATCTAAGAACAATCTACAACTCAAGATTTATTTAATTTTGTAGTTTTTGCGTCTAAATAGATCGGTGTCACCAGCTTCTATAGTTAGTATTTAGGAAAGTATGCTTTTATTTTGATTACTCTAAAATAAAAATAAAAACAATTGATCTCTTTAAACACAATAACAGGAGAGAGCGAGAAAGCGAGAGAGAGAGAGAGAGAGAGAGAGAGAGAGAGAGAGAGAGAAAGAGAGAGAGAGGGAGAGAGGGAGAAATTAGAGGGAAAGGGGTAGAGATTTCAACTGATGTTAGTTCACATGTTTTGTGACTTAAGAATATTTGGCACACACAATGCTTAGCCGCCTTTATATTCCCTAGTGTGAGTCATGTATATCGTATAGACTCGATCCCAGGCTACGAGCTGGAGACTTTCGCTCTAATATTTGACCACACCGTTATATCCCAGCAGGATAGTTCAATAACACAATTCGAACCCGCAGTTTTAAACGTAAGTTGGCTGTCCGTAGTCACGAATTATTACGGGAAATTTTAGTGGTGTTACAAGCTATGTTGTGTTTTACTTCGTCATTTTCTTTCTTGTTGAAACAAGTATAAAAATAATTTTAAAATTATTGCTTTCAAAAGTTACCTCCCTTATACATAGCCCGAGTGATGTAGGTTTTGGTTACTTTTTTTTTCACAAAAAACTTCTATGCTTATATAAGAAAATATGGCATCTAGACAAATAATTGTTTTTCCTCTGACGGAAAAAAATATTTTTTTGGTTACACTCTATGGTCGGTCTACGACCTCACAAAATATCAGGGGGTGGGGGGGGGGGGGGGGGGGGGGGCAGGAAGTCGTTCGGCGATTATTTTTTTTATATATAAATCATATAAGGATAATTTTTAGCCCTTGCCGTAGGCTTACAGATCGACACTTTCTCCATACGGCCTAGACATTTATTAGCTAGATGTACAGAGGTTAAGTACCTTAAATCTTTGGGGAAATTACCTTCTGTTTTTCACATCAATTACGAAGATTATATATATATATATATATATATATATATATATATATATATATATATATATATATATATATATATATATATATATATATATATATATATATATATATATATATATATATATATATATATATATATCGGTTAATCGGTTGAAACTGACCAGTCGTGTTTTCCGTATATATATATATATATATATATATATATATATATATATATATATATATATATATATATATATATATATATGTATATATATATATTTTTTTTTTTTAATTTATTTATTTATTTTTATATGAGTATGTGTGTGTATTTGCGCGCGTGTGTGTGTATGTGTGTGTGTGTGTGTGTGTGTGTGTGTGTGTGTGTTTAACACTCTTTACTAGTATTTCCCGGCTACGCCTTGTTAATGTAAATTAGAAATTATACGTCAGACAGAAATTAATCAGCAGTAATTAAAAAACAATTTAAACTCAAGGCCATATTATTCTAAGCGCCTACGTGTTTTTGTGTGTATTTATGTTGTTGAAAATTCAGTAAAATTCACAGACGTTCTGCCGCTTGCTTTCATACTAGAACAGATACTTCAATCAGGTGAGATACATTTTCATTTTTTGGTTGATCCTGGCCTTTAGGGACGAACGTCGTTGAGAGTTTGCTGATGTCCCGCAGGTCTCGTTCTGATCTCGTTTCGGACTAGTGACTGTAGGATGTCACTGAGTCCACCCAGCTCTGATGAGTACCTGACTTAAGTTGGGGAAAGTAAAGACGTCTGCGCAAAGTACTGACCATCCTTTTATATTCTGAATTCGTTCTGTCATTTTAAAACTTAAAGGTTTATCGATGTTTCACTCACTTCAAATAAATCCATTCGTTTTAAGCTTGACATTTTGGTTGTGAAAACAATAACCATTTAAAGCAGGGATTTCCAAACAACGGCCCGTGGGCCGTATGCGGCTTGCGATGTCCTCTCATCCGGCACGCGGAGATATTTTTCACCACGGAAAACAAAATGTTTTAGGAGGTGGCTGAGGAACTTTGCCCAGAAAATTCAAAACAATTTGAAAATGTAGCTTTGGTTGCAAATACCATCAGTTTCACTCAGTAGCGGTTTTCTGACTTGATTTCAAAGGCAGAAGAAGTGACACGATGAACTGCATCTGGAGGTCATTGAATTGCAAGCAAATGACCTCCTTAGAGACAAGTTCAAAGATGGACGGTTGGGCTTTAATAAGTTTTTGCCCAAGTAAAACTTTCCTAATATTAAAAATTTGCATCAAAGTACCTTTCAAGTTTTGGAACAACACACCTGTATGAACAAACATTTACAAGAATGAAATACGTGAAGAACAATTTGAGAACAAACCTAGCATTCGAGAGTGTTGTCTGCCCTGGACAGTGTTTCTTTCAAACTTTTTTTCTCAGGAGGGGGGGGGGGGGATATGAAATTTGTATATATTTCTATATAAAATATAAATTGGGGGGCGTTTGACGTTCTTTGGGGGGAGGGGGGGGCTCTGCCACCCCTATGAGATGCCTGAAAGAAACTCTGCCCCCCGAACTGATATTCGATAGTTAATGTGGCCCTCGGGCTGAAAAGTTTGGAGACCCCTGATTTAAAGTCACATGAAGATTTTGTAAATCAATTTGAATTTATTAAGACTACTCGCTAAAATTTTTACTGGATTATTTTTCATTTCAATAAAGTCGTTTATTTTCTTCTTTTCAAGTGCATATATAAAACTTGAATGTAAAATCTTTTACTTATTTGTGTACGTTTTAGTATTAAGGGTGACTAAAACATTCGCGAAAGTTAAATCATCCACTCTATGAACAGCACACTATACTGCTATGTTGTGCTATTATTAATTAAATTTGAAAAAAAAATGTCTAATTTAGATTCATCAATTAAAGAATAGCCGGCTGTTGCTGAAAAAATCTAGCTTGCTTTAATCAACTCCCAAAGAACAATTGCTCAGCTGTTTGTTTCTATAAATAGAAAGTTAATTTTGTTTCCTGTCTGTGAAAACAGTTTTTCATCTAGCCACCCACCATGAAGACCATCCTGTTGTTGCTGGCTGTGGTAGCTGTGGCCCATGCAGGCGTGACCTTGACCTTGTCGTCTGATGACATTGAAGCGTTCTTGGAGGCTCACAACGACGTGAGGAATGAACTGGGTATCCCATCCCTGGTAAGTTCTCGTGTATGTATATCATGTGTAGCTACCTCTACTTAGCTAGTAGCTAACAGCTAGTTGTTTTGTATGTCATGTTTTTCTAGCTCTGGTAAGTTGACACTATATCATGGAAATGTATTAAACTAGTATTAAATCTTTTAAATAATATTTCTCAAGATTACACAAAATTATAGCAAACTTTTTTAGTCATTTGACAAATGTAGAAAAATTAATTGCATCAATTTAACGTTTTTCAAAACGAAGTAACAAATTAGTACAGCTACTGGTTGATGGCCCAAATAATTGAAGTCGATATTTTTCAAAATCTACACGATTAGGTTCCATTAGAATAAAGTTTTTTTTTTATTCTCTTGCATAATATTTTTTTGGACCTTTTGTGATTTTTTAAAACTAGCTTCTATTAGCCTTTTGTCATGGAAGGCAATTACCGTATATTGTGGGAAGAGAGAAAGGGGGGGGGGGTGCAGGGTCCGGGGTCTAGTCATTGACTACGGACTGTTTTTCGCTTTCCTAATTATATTTTGTCACCAGGTATGGGACACGACACTGGCCGAGTTCGCAGAAGACTGGACATCCAGGTGTGAATTTGAACACAGCAATCAACAATACGGGGAGAACTTATACCAAAATGGACGTGAGATCATCATAATAAATCATTAATAATAGACCCATACCATCATAAACATATCAGTAGTGGACCCATACCATCATAAACATATTATAAGTAGACTCATACGATTAAAAACATATCAGAGGTAGACCCATAGGATCATAAACACCTGTAGTAGACCCTTACTATCATTAAATTATCACTAGTGGTCCCACAATATCATAAACATATCAGTAGAAGACTCATACCATTATTTACTTATTAGTAGTAAACCCATATCATCATTAACCTATCACTAGTAGGCCCATACCATCATAATCAAACTAACATTAATAAACCCATGACATACGTAACCTAATATTAATAAACTCATAACATTATTAACATATCATTAATAAACTCATACAATACTTACACTAACATAAATAAACCTATACCATCATTAACATCGCATTAATAACCCCACACCATAATTAACATAACATTAATAAACCCATACACTAATTAAGATAAACATTAATAAACACATATTATAATTAATTAACATAACATTAATAAACCCATACCATTATTAACCTAACAGAGGTAGATTCCTACCATCATTTTTCTACCAGAAATAGATCCATGCTATATATAACCAAACACTAGTAGACCCGTCTCATAGTTTACCCGTCAATGTCGAAATTTTAAAGACTTTTGTGACGAATAACGAACCTGTCATGTTGCAGCTTTGGACGACAACGCCACGTACTTGGCCTACAGAAGCGCTGCATCCTGGTTAAAGGAACTGGAATATGTTGATGATGACTGGGAATGTATTGCTCAGGATTCACCTACCTGTGGTCATTATTCACAGGTGAGATGTTTTCAATAGCTTACATATCAGTAGTGAGACATTTTTTTTATTCATCAAATATTTTGTTCAATTATAAATACTAGATTGAATTGTATTAGTAAAATTATAATCCTATGCCATTTTGTATTAAATCACTTTGTGATTTGTAGATGGTGTGGAGAGATTCAGTATCAGTTGGCTGTGCCATCACTCAGTGTGAGGAGAATGAAGAAATGCCCAACCTTGTTTCATGCAACTATGACCCACCGTGAGTTAATATTTTATTTTAATACTAGACCATTGTGGAACTATTAGTTCACATCGTATTTCATTAATAGTAGACAATGATTGACGAGAGCTTTGTTTTATAAGACACTAATTGCATGTGTTATGTAACATAATTAGCATAAATCACTCTTTAATCTGTAAATCAACCTATGTAATATTCATCACCGACGGTTTTTACTTTTTTGTTGACTTAATGTATATTAGAGTATCAACAGCAAAAAATAAATGTCTTCGCTAACTATGTTTTCTTGAACTTTTGTCTTAAACCATAATATGTCCACAAAAACTTCTAAAGTTGATATTAGAATATCTATGTATGTATGTAACAGTACGTAACAAGACTTGTTGATTATTGTTAACATTTTTGACATAATGTATTTACAGGGGCAACCACGGTGGGCAACAGCCTTATTAGATGTAGACAGCTACAGTGATCAATGGAAACGAACGGTTACTTTTGGCTCCATACAGTTCAAGTCCCATGTTTTAGATTCATATTTCAAATATAATATTAGTTCCGTTTCTTATTGGAAAACTATTTACGAGAAATTATTCTCAATGCCTTTTTGAAGTCAAAAATACATCTTTTTAAAACACTTAACTATGTAATTTTTTCAATTGTTTTTAATTGTTCTTTTTTTTTTTCGTTAAATGTAATTGTGAAAGGAATTTCCTCCAACACAATTCAAAATTTCGTGTCAGCCATGATTTACTTTCATCATTCTTTTCTTTATGGATTGCAAACATTTTGAGTTAATTGGCATGTCTCAAAATGTGATGGAAATTTTAGAATCGATGTGGAGAATTATTTGATTAAACCATGTTTCTCTTCAGTTGTTAAAACAAATTAAACCATCTCCACATAACTTAATGCTTAAACTACAGAAATAAACCTTAAACATAACCACATTTGAAGTAACAAAGTTTCTCAAATATTAACGTAACAAAGGATCTACACCGTTACAGGCTAGTTTCCTGAAATAGACATGCATGATAAACAGAATTTCGTCTAAAACCTCCAGACTAATTAATCCACTGGAAATGTAAAGCCGTTTTAAGCCTGCCTGCATGTATCTGTATCTTGGCGACATAACATATCAATAAAACTGAGCGCAAGGGATTATGAAATCCGAGATGGATTCGAACCTGATACGACGTCAGCTTGTAGCCTGAGTTGTTGTTGTTATTGTTGTTTTTTTGCGTCAATATTTATGCAAGTAAGCTAAGCAATGCCTTAAAACCATCTCCACATTTTATCTGCATGTGTAACTACAGGTATTAAAAAATAATTTAAGTTTAATCATTTTCCACGTTGAAGAAATATTAGACCAGAATTGTTTTCTCATATAACAAAACATAAGCCTTTATAACCACCTTGCTAGTTTCGATATTAGTGTTACAAACCTAAACATAAACTTTCTATATAGAACAAGTTTCATATAAATTTTCATTACTAATGATGAATTGTTTTCATCCAAATAAAATGTTTGTGTACGTTTAGGCGAAAATAGCATTAGATAAATGAAATTTTTTTTGTAACATCTATGTTACATTTTTGTAACATTTTACGAACCAAATTATTTAGTTTTTAAAAATATTTTTTCCTCAGTGGCAACTACATCGGCCAGCAGCCGTACTAGTGCCTGGTATCAACAGGTAAAATACTAGTTAATCAACAGTTTACTGCAATAGGCTAAACTATCCATGTCAATGTCTCTTTTTATGTGATTCTCCTACATGGCTGATATCTTCTATGGCCTTCTGCTGAATTGTATTTTTGTATAACTAAATTTAACAATTTTTGTAGTAGAGATTTAATCTATTTTTAACCTTCAAATTACATTTGTTGACGTATTATCATTTAGAAAGAAAAAAAAGTGTTAATCGCTAATCCCTTAACATAGCAAAAACAAAAGGTATTATATATATATATATATATATATATATATATATATATATATATATATATATATATATATATATATATATCAAACATTTTGGTGTGTGAGAATTTTCAAGGCGTATATTTTCGTGACTAAAACATAACATAGCTGTGCGCTGGATTGCAACATCACTAAAATTTTCCGTGAGAATGCGGGACTAAGACAGCCAACCAACGTTTTAGAACTGCGGGTTTTAAATCTATTGTTTAACTGTCATGCTGGTATGGAACGGCGTGGTCGAATGGTAGAAGGAATGAGTAATACCCTGAGATCTGATCCAAGGCTCGAATCAGATGTATATTACTAACACTAGTTAAAGTAAAAGAGTTTGAGAATTGTTCTGACCTCAATAGCGTTCATGTGCTAAGGTCACATAAACATGTGAACAATACAGCCGTTAAAATCTCTATTCCCCCCCCCAACACACACACCCCTAACTTTCTCCCTCACACCCTCTCTTTTGATGAGTTCTGGTTGCACATCTAACTCACTGATAATCTTTGTAATGGATCGAGTTTCAAAACTAAACTTCAACATTTTTACGATGAATTGAGTTTTCAACTAAACAATATGTGTTTAATGAGACCCGCAAGCCGGTGACAGCAATCCATTGATGAGTAACAAATACAACATTAAATAAAAGCTGAGCTGTACATTGTTCTTACCATGGGGTAATTGACGTATTGTACCACTTTTGTCATAGACCTCCTATAGTGTGACTATCGTGTGGTCGGCACTATGCCCAGCCGCCTACACTTTCTTTAACGTGAGCCAGGTACCAATTAGAGCTGAGATGACACTGGGAGGAACTCAAGTTAGGGAGACTGTAGGGTTAAAAGTTTAACATCTATACCATTTGATGTAGCCGCCTGTACTAAACCACCTCGGAAAAAATCAATTTCCCTGGTATGTTATCTATGCTGTGATCAGTGAAACAATATCACAAATGACCCACACATCGTTTATTGTCTAGTATATTTCAAACGTCGAAAATTATATCTTCAACAACTCGTTTTCTAGCCCAAAGCTTTTTATGGATTTATTTTTGTCGACAGCTTCCATACCATTAATCTCTAGGTACAATTTTTTTGAGTCAGCAACTATGGTAAAACAAAGCATCTGTTTGACAACTTCTTTTGCAGTCAAACATTAAGGTGAAACACATAATCCGTAGGTAAAATCTATTTTAGTCAGCAACTACGGTAAAACAAAGAATCTGTATGTAGCATCTATTTCAGTCAAACACTACGGTAAAACAAAACGAATTTACCTAGATATGAAAATACACAAAAAACATAGTTAACCGTCAGTTGGTATATTGCAAGGTTAGTGAGTTCGCCAATTTTTTAAACTAATTTAATAATAAATGATAGAACATACTTGTCTCTGCATGTACTAGAAATACACATCTATTTTCGGAAGCAACAGTCATTAAAATGTTAGTATCAAAATAGAGGCCAATATGTTTTATTAGTAATCTTAAACTTAATTCGGTCATAAACTATTTTATAATGGCACAAATTTTAAGTATACACACTGCACTTTCGTTTTTCATTTGAAAAATTGATAGCTTAAAATGATAGATTATTTCGTGTGTACTAGATTATTACAAAAAGAAAACGTTGTTGATACAATAAATTATGTATTAACCAACGCGAAAGTGAAAGTTGAACGTTAAGATATTGTGCTATATTGGGTTATATGCGAAAACGTGTTGGATATGGAGCAGTAAATTAACGAACTTTTTATTTTAAATAACATTTCGCTTTTAGTTTTCTGCTTCTTTGTGGTGATATTGGGAGAATATGGTGACCACGGCCTATATGATATCTACTCAATTTCTGGCGTTGCTCAAGTTCAAATTGAATTCGAACACTTTCATATCAATATATTTGAACTAAAAAGCATCTCTTTATATATATATATATATATATATATATATATATATATATATATATATATATATATATATATATATATATAAATAATAGACCCCCAACTAGCAATTCCTTTCTACGCCATTGTTAAAGAAAATTCAAAAATATGCGTCAGATAAGGGATGACACAACATATCCAGCAGTAATTAAAAACCGTTTCATCTGTGCGCCCTGTGATTCTATGCGCCTACGTGTTTTTTCAGTTTTCGTTGGTGTATTTATGTTGATGAAACTTCAGTGAAATTCACAGACTTGTAGCAACTTGCTGTCATACTAGAACAGATACGTCTATCAGGTGAGACACATTTTTCATTTTTTGTTGTTTCTCTGGTGGGTAGCCTAGTCGAGAGTATGGTTTCAATGGTCGTTGGAGTGGTTGGGTCGGTTAAGCTCATGGTTGCTGAACTGATAAATCCCGCGTTCGAACCCCCGGGGCGCGTGCACATGAGGCTCGACAGCTGGCAACAGCAACCCATCTAGGAGAGACAACTCCAAAATCTAACATCTGTTGCATTGTAGTTTGTTCTTGGTTTGACAAAGGCTACTTAAGCAAATCCAAAAATAAAAGCAGTCTGAAATCGGTGTTAACGGCCTATAACCAGTTGACACGTACACTTAATTGTGTTTGAGTGAATCCCTTCCAACACTAAAATCAAGAACGAAAAAGAAGAAGAATTGTGGTCTGCTTAAAACTATAGACGATTTAGTGACATAGTATTCCGCTTTTAATCAAGTGGTATGACGTGGCCGAATGATATTGCATTTGGCTGATGTTCCCACGGTCTAGTTCTGATTTCGTGTTGGACTTTTGACTGTAGAACGTCGCTGAGTACACCCAGCTCTAATAGGTACCTGACTTATGTTGGAGAAACTAAAGGCGGCTGCGCAAAGTGCTCACCACACCATCACTTTTTATGCCGAGGTGAAAAAACGTATAAACTTTACTTGTGCTCCAAAAATCGCTAGGTCTAAAGAGGAGATTTAATTATTTATTAATCAAACAATTTGTGGAATTATTTTCTCATTAACATTGGTAATGTTTGGATGGGTGGAAGTATGTGGATGACATTTTTTGTGTGGATGGTGTCACATTTTATATTTTATAATCTTGTAAATGGTGTCATTTTTAGATGGTTTTATCTTGTGGATGTGACCATTTGTATGGTGTCATTTTGTGGATGTGACATGAGCATTTTCGTAATCAGATTTCATTTAATTTTATTAAATTGAATTACTAATTACAGTTTATAGTAATTTAGTGGACTGCTCATATAATGGGTGCACTCTACTGCCGCGCATGTTTTTAGTCTAAAAAGTAAAAAAGAAAAATAATTTAAAGGTGTGTAACATCAAAAGAAGAAAAACAAAAGGAAATAAAGCAGCTAAACTTTAGCATGTAGTCCTAGTATTGTTGAAATTAGATTCAACAGATTCAGAATAATAAAAGTAGGTTGATTTTTTTATTTCTCCAACAGCATTATTTACTTCGGCTGCAGTGTTTCTTCCAGACTTTTTTCTCCGTGGGGTGCACTTGAAATTTTTTGGGGGGGGGGGGGGGGGGGTGCGGTAGACTTACATGGGGGGGGGGGCGGAGGATACTGTTGAATGTATATATTTTCTACATAAACTCCATTTCGTTCGGGAAGGGGGGTAGACTTTTTCGGGGGGGGGGGGGGGGGGGGGCGGAACCCCCCGACGAGATGCCTGGAAGAAACTCTGTTCGGCTGGTTGTTTCTATAAATAGAACGTTAATTTTGTTTCCTGTCTATGAAAACAGTTTTTAATCTAGCCACCCACCATGAAGACCATCCTGTTGTTGCTGGCTGTGATAGCTGTGGCCCATGCAGGCGTGACCTTGACCTTGTTGTCTGATGACATTGAAGCGTTCCTGAAGACTCACAACGACGTGAGGAATGCTCTGGGTATCCCGTCTTTGGTACGTTCATCTTGTTTGTATGTCATTTGTTTGCTACCTCCGCAAGCTGACACTAAATTACGGCAGAATATAAATAGAATTTAATATTATAAATGATTCCACACAGCTAAAACAATACTTAATAGTCATTTCACAATTGTAGAAATATAAATTACATTAGTTCCTCTCCCCCCTTTGAAGCTTTTAGTCATACCAGCTCTATTTTTCATAAGTTTACACTACTCGATTTATATTTTTACTTTTTCGTGCATTTTTTCCATTTTTACTTTCTCGTATATACGTAGTATAGAGAAAGTATTGTAATCGTGCACCTCACTGATACGGAAAAACATAATTTTGCAATCTTGTCCGTATGTCTGTGTGTGTGTGTGTCTGTCTGTGTGTGTGTCTGTCCGTGTGTAAACACGATAACTTGAGTACCGTTACAGCTAGGTTGATGAAATTTCATATATAAGTATTTTATCAAAATCGTAGATCCGTATCAACTTTTGAGCGATTTCCGATAACCGGAAGTGGTACTTTTCCTACTTTGAATTTTTCAAAAGCCTATAACTTGAGTACTATTTCAGATAGATAAATGAAATTTCACATGTAAGTAAATGATCTAATTCTCTACCTTCTGTTAAATTTTGAGTAATTTCCGTTGACTGGAAGTAGTAATTTACGCTACTTCCGATTTCTCAAAAAACTAATGTAAATTTTTAAAGTACTAATAATATTGCGCACTATTATACGCGTTTTTATTCGGCGTTTGCTTGGTGCGCAATCTTTTTTTTATGAGATTCTATTCTATTTTTAAAAGTTTAAGTATTTAAAATGGATTAAAAATCATAACTATATCCCCAGTTACCATCCCCTGTTGTTTTATATAAGAATATTCGAGAAAGTTTAGGGGAGATCACTACCGGTTTATTAATTGTGTGATTTGTGATTATAATAGAAGCTTTTTCCTTTAAAATATCATTTTGTATGTAAAATTATTAGAAAATACACCAAAAAAAAACAGCTACTTATTGGTTACCCATAAAATTAGAGTCGATAATTTTCTAAATCTACACGCCTATGTCCCAGTTAAAATACAGATTTGTTTTTACAATCAGGGAATATCCACATGCTAATTAACGGAATTCTGTTGAAGTACCCTTTGTGTTAAACGCATCGAATATTTTTAACTAGCCTCTATCATTCATTTGTTATAAAGGATATGTCGCTGTACCTTACACCGAGAAGAAGTGCGGGGGGGGGGGGGGGGGGGATCTAGTCATTGTCTTTGCAACACATTTTTATTTTTCTAATTATATTGTACCATCAGACATGGGACACCAAACTGGCAGATTTTGCAAAAGACTGGACATCCAGGTGTGTTTTTAAACACAGCTATGGAGATTATGGGGAAAACTTATACGCATCTGGACGTAAGAATACCATTTTTATCTTAACAGAAGAACACCAGTACCTATCAATAGTAGATCCTTTCCATATTCAACCTATCAGTAGTAGATCCATACCATCAGTAGTAGGCCCATGTTATGAATTAAACTTATCATTATCAAACGATACCGTAAACAAATTATCAGTAGTACCGTCATTAACCTTACAGAAATAGACCCATGCAATATTTTACCATACAGAAGTAGACCCCTCTCATAGTGTACCAAACTGGGTCGAAGTTATAAATAGATTCCTGATGTGACAAATGACACACCTGTCATGTTTCAGCCTTGAATAAAAACGCTACTGACCTAGCCTATAGAAGCGCAGCATCCTGGAAAAAAGAACTGGCTAATGTTGACCCTGACTGGAATTGTGTCGGTGGATCACCTACCTGTGGTCATTACTCACAGGTGAGACGTCGTCAATAGATTACATATCAGTAGTGAGACTTTTTAAAAGTCTTTAATGGAATATATTACCCATCATTAGGGGTACGCATAAGCACAAGTAGTTAAACCTCAAAAAATCACTAGTGAAACATAAAATCGTTATTTGTGAGAATTAGTATAATATTATGTGTTATACAATTAAAAGACAATTATTACGACATTGATCATTGCTAGTGAAGAAGGGAAAAAATCATTGTTAAGGTATTAAAATATCAAAAATTATTAAGACATTGATCATTATGAGACACCGAATGTGATTATTTGTCAGACTTCACAAAACGCCATAAATGAATTATTAAACCTCATTAGTGAGACATAAAGAAAATATTAGTGACACAGGAAAACATCATAAGTGAGACACGGGAAAACATCAATAGTGAGACACAGAAAAACGTCATTAGTGAAATATAAAAAATCATTAGTGAAATATAAAACATCATTAGCGATACACAGGAAAACATCTTTAGTGAGATATAAACTACATTAGTGAGACACAGGAAAACATCTTTAGTGAGACATAAACATCATTAGTGAGACACAGTAAACATCATAAGTGAAAAAGGAAAACATCATTAGTGAGACACAGGAAAACATCATTAATGAGATACGGGAAAACATCATTAGTGAGACACAGGAAACATCATTAGTGAGACGCAGGGAAACATCATTAGTGAGACGCAGGGAAACATCGTTAGTGAGACGCAGGGAAACATCATTAGTGAGAAAGGATAACATCAGTAATGAGACACAGTAAAACATTATAAGTGACACACAGGAAAACATCATTAGTGAGACACAGGAAATAAATCACTAGTGAGACACATGAAAACATCATTAGTGAGACACAGGGAAACATCCTTAGTGAGACACAGGAACACATCATTAGTGAGAATGGATAACATCAGTAGTGAGACACGGGAAATATCATTAGTGAGACACAGAAAACCATCATCAGTGAGACACAGGAAAACATCTCAGTGAGACACAGGGAAACATCATTAGTGAGACACAGGAAACCATCATTATTGAAACACGAAAACATCATTAGTTAGACACAGGAAAACATAAGTGAGACACATGAAAACATTATTATTGAGACACAGGAAAACATTCTTCGTAAAAAATAAAACATGATTAGTGAAACATAAAACACATCATTAGTGAGACATAGAAAAATTAAAACATCATTATTGAACACACAGAAATATAATGTAACAGTTTCCAGATTCAACTTATTTTTTAGCGCAATTTCCTTTCTGGAGAATTGCGTTTATTAACCCGTCATTTCTGGATGTATGAATGTATGAATGGATGTGTGTCCGCAGGTTTAAGTCGTATCTCCTCCTAAACGAAGCAATATCGAGGACTAGTTCCAAAAGCAATTACGTTAAGCAAGTTACGAGGATGAACATAGGCCAAAAAAATTCCGGGTTGGTTTCTTTCATGGATTTCCCGGGAAAGCCAAAAAAACTCGAAAAAATGCCCATATCTCGGCAACCAGACCACTTAGCGACTTGAAACATGTACCAATCGATTCCTGCCATAATTTAGAACAATGTTGCCGAAGCAAGTTTTCAAAAATATCCTTTCGTTCGGTCACACAATTTTTTTTTTGAATTAATTAAAATTTGGACCGAATTAGTAGGCATTTTTATCCAACCACACCACACGCGTCATCACGTTCAATAGCTGCGCCATCACGTTCAATGGCTGCGTCATCACGTTCAGTAGCTAGGCGCGCAATGGTTTTTAGTCATGTAACTCTATTGTAAATAAAACATGTATTTTAACCAATGGTTTTACTAACCCTGCTCTTGATTTACGCTACGACAGAGCTATTTTTAGATAACATAAGGAAATTGCGCTAAAATTGTCACTAGACTTTTTAATTACCTTGTTTTAGCAACAACGAAGGTAAACTTGCATTATTACCATCTTACTTATAATGAAACTGCGAAGTCCTAAGGTACAGCCTACAAGTTCTTTCTCACCTCTCCCGATTTCGGATCTCTGATGTCGTTATACATCAAACATTTGTTAAATAATAAAACATGGATTGCATTGTATTAATAGAATTATAGTCCCATGCCAGTTCTTATTAAATCGCTGTGTGGTTTGTAGATGGTGTGGAGAGATTCAACATCAGTTGGCTGTGCCATCACTCAGTGTGTGAATGTTGCTGGTGTATTGCCCAACCTGGTTTCATGCAACTATGACCCACCGTGAGTTAATATTTTGTTTTAATACTTGACCATTTTGGAACTATTAGTTTACATTGTATTTCATTAATAACTTCACGTTTAACCATAAGTTCACATTAATTTCAATACTAGTTCTATCTATATTCTTATATATATATATATATATATATATATATATATATATATATATATATATATATACTATATATACTCTTTATTAGACATATTTATTCAATACTAGTTCCTTACATAGCAATAGGTACACAATACTAGTCCAACGTTGGGTTCAAATACGCATTTATTTTCAAAATAACTCCTTGTATAGCCAAGCGTACACAGTTATTTCAATACACGTTTCTTTCAGACCTGAAAGTTAATAACATATAACTATCATTATTATTTCTACTAAAAGAAATTAATCCAGAATGTATTTGAACACCAGGTCGTATTACCACTAGCAACACTGATTACAGGCTCTATTTAAATACATTGTAAAAACAATTTTATAAAAGTTGTTCTTTTTACTTTCTCGTATATACGTAGTATAGAGAAAGTATTGTAATCGTGCAAAAAAAAAAAATCGAGATTTTTACAAATCTCGACGTTTTACACCTCACTGATACGGAAAAACATAATTTTTCAATCTTGTCCGTATGTCTGTGTGTGTGTATGTCCGTGTGTAAACACGATAACTTGAGTACCGTTACAGCTAGGTTGATGAAATTTCATATATAAGTATTTTATCAAAATCGTAGATCCGTATCAACTTTTGAGCGATTTCCGATAACCGGAAGTGGTACTTTTCCTACTTTGAATTTTGTAAAAGCCTATAACTTGAGTACTATTTTAGATAGATAAATGAAATTTCACATGTAAGTAAAAGATCTAATTCTCTACCTTCTGTTAAATTTTGAGCAATTTCCGTTGACTGGAAGTAGTAATTTACGCTACTTCCGATTTCTCAAAAAACTAATGTAAATTTTAAAAGTACTAATAATATTGCGCACCATTATGAACATCTTTATTCGGCGTTCGGTTGGTGCGCAATACTTTTTTCTATGAGATTCTATTCTATTTTAAAAAGTTTAAGTATTTAAAATGGACGAAAAATCATAACTATATCCCCAGTTACCATCCCCTGTTGTTTTATATAAGAATATTCGAGAAAATTTAGGGGAGATCACTACCGGTTTATTTTTCTTCTCACTAACATTGCATATGGATATCCCATTCACGTTACATTCGGAGTAAATCCTTCACTGTTTCTGCTTTTTGTGTCTGACAATGATTGACGAGAGCTTTGTTTTATAAGACACTCATAACATGTGTTATGTAACATGATCAGCGTAAATTACTGTTTAATCTGTAAATCAACCTATGTAAAATTCATCACCGACGTTTTAATTTTTTGTTACTTCTTGTATATTAGAGTATCAAAGGCAAAAAAAAATGTCGTTGCTAACTTTTTTCCCCTGAAGTTTTGTATTAAACAATAATATGTCCACAAAAACTTCTAAAGTTGATATTAGTATTCCCATTTATGTATGTAACTGACAGGTAACAAGTCTTTGTATTAATAATTTTGGCTAAATATATTTATATTATTTGCAACCGTGTGTATGTAACAGTACGTAACAAGACTTGTTAATTATTGTTAACATTATTGGCATAATGTATTTACAGAGGCAATTACGAGGGGCAACAGCCCTATTAGATGTAGACAGCTACAGTGATCAATGGAGACGTATGGTTATTTTTTGCGCCTTACAGTCACGTTACATGTTATAGATTTACATTTCAAATATAGTGAGAAATATTAGTATTGTTTCTCATTGGAAAACTTTTTACAAAAAAAAACATTATTCTATAGTCTCTTTTGAAGTGTAAATAAATCATTTTAAAACATTTACCATTGTCATTTTTTCAATTGTTTTTAATTAATTTTTGTTTTTACTTTCTCGTATATACGAAGTATAGAGAAAGTCTTGTAATCGTGCAAAAAAAAAATCGAGATTTTTACAAATCTCGACGTTTTACACCTCACTGATATGGAAAAACATAATTTTGCAATCTTGTCCGTATGACTGTGTGTCTGTCTGTGTGTCTGTCTGTCTGTCTGTCCGTGTGTAAACACGATAACTTGAGTACCGTTACAGCTAGGTTGATGAAATTACATATATAAGTATTTTATCAAAATCGTAGATCCGTATCAACTTTTGAGCGATTTCCAATAACCGGAAGTGGTACTTTTCCTACTTTTAATTTTTCAAAAGCCTATAACTTGAGTACTATTTCAGATAGATAAATGAAATTTCACATGTAAGTAAAAGATCTAATACTCTACCTTCTGTTAAGTTTTGAGTAATTTCCGTTGACCGGAAGTAGTAATTTACGCTACTTCCGATTTCTCAAAAAACTAATGTAAATTTTAAAAGTACTAATAATATTGCGCACTATTATGCGCTTTTTTATTTGGCGTTCACTTGGTGTGCAATTGATTTGTCTACGAGATTTTATTCTATTTTTAAAAGCTTAAGTATTTAAAATGGATTAAAAATCATGTCTATAGCCCGAGTTCACATCCCCTGTTATTTTATATAAGAATATTCGAGAAAGTTTAGGGGAGATCACTCCCGGTTTATTTCCTTAAATGTAACTGTGAAAAGAATTTGGAATTTCTTCCAACACAATTCAAAATTTCGTGTCAGCCATAATTTATGCGCAATACGGCCTGTTGACTTTGCTTTCAGCTTTCTTTTCTTTATGGATTGCAAACTTTTGGAGTTAATTTAAAACACGAAATATTGGCACGTCTCAAAATTAGATGGACATTTTAGAATCGATGTGTAGAATTATTTAATAAAACCATCTTTTGCTGTTAATACAATATAATCTACCTTAAACATATCGAGGCTTTTCAATCAAACAAGCAGAAATTGTGATCATGACACTAATCAAAATATGAGCCTAGCTTAATCATTAGACTCCAGAAATAACCTTAAAATTAAACGCAATTCAAAAAATAGCTTATCAAATCTTAACGTAACCTACACGGACATAGGTTAGTTTACTGAAATAAACATGAATGATAAACAGAATTTCGTCTAAAACCTCCAAACTAATTAATCCACGGGAAATGTAAAGCCTTATTAAGCCTGCCTGCATGTATCTGTATCTTGGCGACATTGCCTATAAATGAAACTGAGCGCAAGGGATTATGAAATCTGAGATGGATTCGAACATTATACGACGCCAGCTTGTAGCCTGAGATTTTTTTTGGGTCAATATTTATGAAAGTAAGCAAAGCCTTAATCTCGACATTATATCCGCATGTGTATCTAACGGTATTAAAAAATATCCTAAGTTTAACTATTTTCCACATTGTTGAAATTCTAGACAAGTATTGTTTCTTTATACAACAAAAAATCATATTGTATAACCACCTTGCTTGTTGCGTTAGTTGGGTTACAAACATAAACATAAACATTCTATATAGAACACGTATAATAGAAATGTTCATTATTAATAATAACTTGTTTAGGCAAGTTAAGGCGAAAAATGACTACAGATAAATGCAATTGTTTTTATGATATCTGTTACATTTTGATGACATTTTACAAAACAAATTATTTAGTTTTTAAAATATTTTACCTGTGGCAAATATATCTTTCAACAGCCGTACTAGTGCATGGGTTCAACAGGTGTAATACTAGTGACTGGACCTGGCATCAACAGGTGTACCACTAGTGACTGTTATCAACAGGTGTAACTATAGTGACTGTTATCAACAGGTATAACTATAGTGACTGTTATCAACAGGTGTAACACTAGTGGCTGGACCTGGTATCAACAGGTGTAACACTAGTGACTGGACCTGGTATCAACAGGTGTAACTATAGTGACCAGACCTAATATCAACAGGTGTAACACTAGTGACTGGACCTGATATCAACAGGTGTAACACTAGTGACTGGACCTGGTATCAACAGGTGTAACACTAGTGACTGTTATCAACAGGTGTAACACTCGTGACTGGATCTGGTATCAACAGGTGTAACACTAGTGACTGGACCTGGTATCAACAGGTGTAACACTAGTGACTGTTATCAACAGGTGTAACTATAGTGACTGTTATCAACAGGTATAACTATAGTGACTGTTATCAACAGGTGTAACACTAGTGGCTGGACCTGGTATCAACAGGTGTAACACTAGTGACTGGACCTGGTATCAACAGGTGTAACTCTAGTGAGTGGTATCAACAGGTGTAACACAAGTGACTGGACCTGGTACCAACAGGTGTAGCGCCAGTGAATGGAGCTGGCACCACAGATGTCATGGTTTCCTGAAATACGCTCAACCCTCATGTCAATGTCTCTTCTTATATAATTTACCTACACAGCTGTGAAGATATCTTCTGCTAAAATGTATTTTTGTATAATTAAAGTAAACTCTTACTCAGATACATGTAGTAAAGACTAAATCTATTTTTAACATTACATCGTGTTTGTTATTATTACATTTGTTGACTTGACTTAGACCTCTTTGCTCCTTCTATTTTATGCGATCCCCGGCTATAAATTTTGCCGTCTCTCATGTCATCCCTGTTGGCTCCAGTTCTTCTAGAAGACTCTTGGGCGCCCTCTCTTCTGCTTTCCCTGGGGGTTCCACTCAAGCGCTTGGCGTGTAACATTTGGGTGAGAATTTCGTAGCGTGTGTCCCACCCAGCGCTACTTCCTCCTTATTTGCGCAGCTAAAGGCTCCTGCCTTACTTTTCTACATAGTTCAATGTTCGGTACTTTGTGCTGCCATCTTAATTTCAGAATCTTTCTAAGGCATCCTTTTATGAAGGTCTGTATCTTTGCATGCTTGCTTTGGAGACTCTCCATGTCTCTGCTCCATACAGCAGAACTGCCTTGACATTTGAGTTAAGTATCCTAATTTTTATTGTAATGGATATGTCAGCAATGGAGATGACAGCGATTCATTGAGAAGTAATAACTACAACATTAAATAAGTGCGAGCTGTACATTGTTCTTTGATTTGACAAAAGGCAATGGAATCAAATCCAGCTAAGAAAATATACAGAAGACGAAATCAACTTTCACACGATCCATAACCGTAGATCGTCCCTTGACTAAACAATCCATCATGTCTGCACCCGGTGGTTCGAATAAAAACTAAACATTGCGGAAACCAGCAAACTGAACCAGCACTGAACCGCCTTGCCCTTACGGTCCATAGGGTAATTGACCTAATGTTTCACTTTTTCACTGACCTCGGCGTCTACATGGTTCGAGTGGTCAGCACTATGCCCAGCCGCCTTTACTTTCTTTAACGTGAGCCAGGTACCAATTATAGCTGAGATGACACAGGGACGAACTCAAGACAAGGATTGAACTGCAGACTGTAGGGTGAGAAGTTTAACATCTACACCATTTCATCTAGCCGCGCGTACTAAGTCACCTCGGAAAAAAATCAATTTCCTGGTATTTAATCTATGCTGTGATCAGCCAAACAATACTACAAATTACCCACACGTCGTTTATTTTCTAGTGTATTTCAAACTTCAAAGATGGTACCTTCAACAACTCGTTTTCTAACTCAAAGCTTTTTATGGATTTTTGTCGACAGCTTTCATACCATTAATCTCTAGGTAACATCTTTTTAGTCAGCCCAACTATGGTGAAACAAAGCATCTATTTAATAGCATCTATTTCAGTCAAACATTAACGTAAAACAAATTATCCGTAGGTAGCATCTATTTTAGTCAGCAACTACGGTAAAACAAAGAATCTGTAAGTGTTATCTATTTCAGTCAAACACTACGGCAAAACAAAGCATCAGTAGATATTATCTATTTCAAACAGCAACTACGGTAAAACAAAGCATCTGTAGGTATCATCTATTTCAGTCAAACACTACGGTAAACATAAACGAATTTACCAACATTTGAAAAACACGAAAACAGAGTTGTATGTCAATTGTTGCATTGCAAGTTTAACTTAACAAGCAACTCTATCACTGTATATATATATATATATATATATATATATATATATATATATATATATATTCATATATATATATATATATATATATATATATATATATATATATATATATATATATATATATATATATATATTTATTTATTTATTTATTTATATATATATATATATTTATATACATATATATATATATATATATATATATATATATATATATATATATATATATATATATATATATATATATATATATATATATATATATATATATATATGATAAACCACTTGCAGTTCCGTGAACGCCATTGTTAATACGTCAGATACGGGATGACAAAAATTATACAGCATTAATTAAAAACAGTTACAACTGTACGCCCTGTGATTCTATGCGCCTACACGTTTTTTTTAAATAGTTTTTTGTGTGTATTTATGTTGATGAAACTTCAGTGAAATTTGCGTCAGTTGAGAGATGACACAAATTACCCAGTGGTAATTAAAAATATTTTTAACTTTACGCCCTGTGATTCTATGCGCCTACGTGTTTTTTCAATTGTTTTTTTTGTGTATTTAGGTTGATGAAACTTCAGTAAATTTCACAGACGTTCTACCACTTGCTTTCATACTAGAACAGATACTTCAATCAGGTGAGATACATTTTCATTTTTTTTCTCTTGTGCTTTGGGGGCGAATGTCATTGAGAGTGTGCTTTCAATGATAGTTTGCTTAAAACTGCAGCCGATTTAGTTAATTTACTATCACACTCACGTAAACACGAGCCTCATTGGGATGGGGTGGCCGAAAATACAACATTTGGCTAATGTCCCGAAGGTCTTGTTCTGATCTCGGTTTGGACTTGTGACTGTAGAACGTCACTGAGTCTACCCAGTTCTGGTGGGTACCTGACTTGAGTTGGGGAAAGTAAAGCGATAAGGCATTGCTGATTACACCATGCTTTTATATGCCTCGGACAAGAAACAATTAACTTTATTCCATCTACCCAATGGATCACTAGAGAAACTTTAATTATTTAATTCAAAAGTAAAAAAAAAAATTATTGCAATGTTTCACTTTGTCAGTATCTTTTGGATGGGTGGAAATATGTGGATGACATGTTTTGTGTGGATGTTGTCTCATTTTAGACGGTATAATATTGTAAATGGAGTCATTTTAGATAGTTTTATTTTGTGAATGTGACCATTTGTATAGAGTTATGTTGTGTATGTAACATGAATATTTTCGTAATCAGATTTCAATTATTTTGTTATAAATTAAATCAATAACAGCAGTTTATAGAAATTTAGTGGACTGCTCATATAGAAAAAGAAAGTTGCTTTTTTAATTTCTACAACAGCATTAGCAATTCAGCTATTTGTTTCTTTAAATAAAAAGTTAATTTTGTTTCCCGTCTATGAAAACAGTTTTTAATCTAGCCACCCACCATGAAGACCATCCTGTTGTTGCTGGCTGTGGTAGCTGTGGCCCAGGCAAGCGTGTCCGTGACCTTGTCGTCTGATGACATTGAAGCGTTCCTGAAGGCTCACAACGACGTGAGGAATAATCTGGGTATCCCGTCTCTGGTATGTTTATCGTTTTTTCTATGTCATACGTTGTTACCTCTGGTAAGTTGACACTAAATAAGGGCGATTATATAAATAGAATTCATATTTGAAATAATATATCTCCATATTTTACACAAATAAAACATAACTTACGAATCATTTCACTATAGTAGCATCATAAATACAATAAGTTCCCTCTTCTAAGATTTTAGTTACACCAGTCAGTGGCGGAACTAGAAAAAAGGGCCACCCCGCAAAACAAAATTAATAATTAATAAGTTTAAACTCGATTTTTTTTCTTTACTTTTAGTGCTTTTTTATTTTTAATTGTGTGATTTGTGATATTATATTAGAATCCTTTTTCTTAAAAATATATTATTTTTAAAAGAGATTTTTAGCAAAAAACAAAAACAAAATATAGTAACTTTTATTAGCTACCCATAAAATTGGCTTCGATATTGTTTAAAATCTACACGTCTATGTCCGAATTAAAATACACATTTGGTTTTACAATCAGGGAATATCCACATGCTAATTAACAGAAATCTGTTGAAGTGCCCATTCTGATAAACACAGCGAATAATTTTAACCAGTCTCTATCATTCATTTGTTGTGGAAGGTACATCGTTGTACCTTATACCGGGGTAGGGGAATCGGGGGGTCGGGGTCTAACATTGTCTTTGCAACACATTTTTGTTTTTCTAATTATATTGTATTATCAGACATGGGACACCAAACTGGCCGATTACGCAAAAGACTGGACATCCGGCTGTGTTTTTGAACACAGTACGGGAAATTATGGGGAGAACTTATTCGGATCTGACCGTAAGAATACCATGGTTAACATAATTACACCAGTACCACGTTCAACCTATAGTACTAGTAGATCCATACCATATTTAACCCATTAGTACTAGTAGATCCATACCATATTTAACCTATCAGTAAAGGACCATACCATCATTAAATTATCAGAAGTAGGCCCGTACCATTTTTAACCTAACATTAATGAACATTATTACCTTACAGAAAGAGACCCATGCCATATTTAACCATACAGAGGTAGACCCATCTCATAATTTACATAACGTGGTCGAAGTTGTGACAACACGCCTGTCATGTTTCGGCTTTGAACGACAACGCCACTGCCTTGGCCTATGAAAGCGCGATATCGTGGAAAAGTGAACTGGCTGATGTTGACCCTGATTGGGAATGCATCGGTAGGGAACCTACCTGTGGTCATTATTCTCAGGTGAGACGTCGTCAAAAGATTACATAGCAGTGTTGAGATTTTTAAAGGCTTTAATAAAAATAAATCACCCATCACTAGTGGTATGCTTAAACACAAGAATTATTAAACTTTAAAACATCACTAATGAAACATTAAACGTTATTATTGAGACCTACTATAATATTATGTATTAAGAAATTACATGACAATTATTGAGACATTCATCATCGCTAGTGAAGAATGAAAAAAGAATGTATTGTTAAAGTATTAAAACATCACTGTTCAGACTTTAATAAAGTTTGTTAAGACATTGATAAATGTGAACCTCATCAAATGATAAATTCGTGTAATTTCACAAAACGCCTAAGATAAAATATTTAAAAACTCGTTAGTTAGACATAAAGAAATCATTAGTGAGACACAGGAAAACATAATTAGTGAGACACTGTTAAACATCATTATTGAGACACAGGAAAACTTCATTAGGGAAACATAAAACATCATTAGTAAGTCGCAGGAAAACATCATAATTTTTTTACTCAATATCTGTGTTATTTCGTAATGTTTAGATGGTGTGGAGAGATACAACTGCCGTTGGCTGTGCCATCACTCACTGTGATAATATGCCCAACCTTGTTTCATGCAACTATGACCCACCGTGAGTTGATATTTTATTTTAATACTTGACCATTGTGGAACTTTTAGTTCACAACTTATTTCAATATTAGTTCTTCTTTGGGCAATAAGGGGTCGTCCATAAATGACGTCACATTCGTAGGGGATGGGGGTCCGTATTTTTGTTACGATTTTTTAATGAGGGGGGAGGGGGGGGGGGTTCAGATGGTGCGACGGCCCATTTTTCTTCATGTTAAAAAGAAATTAAAATACTCTATTTTTACAGATTTCTGACAAGTTTGCAAAAATATTGATTTTTAAAAACAAAAATTTAACTTCAATTTTGAGGGTGGTTGTTGTAGGCTGAGGTGTGAATTCATTTTAGGCGGGGGGGGGGGGTCTTGCTTTTTGTGAAGACGTTTGACGGAGTGGAGTGGGGTAGGTAAAAGTCGTCAAAAAAGCGTGACGTCATTTATAAATGACCCCTAAGCACACATTAATTTCAATTATATTTCCTTGTATAGCCATTAGTAAACTTTTTTTTACGCTGGAGCATTAATAATCGTTTATTTCAATACTTGTTCTTTATATAAACATAAGTTGATTTTTTATTTCAATACTAGGTTCTTATCATAAATCACTGTATAATCTCTTTAGATTCATCACCAAACTGGTTCATTTTTTGTTGACTATGAATTTTAGAGTATAAATAGCAAACAAAATTGTTTCTTAATTTTTGTGTTAAATAATAATATGACCGCATACGCTTCCTAAGTTAGTATAAGTAAACCAAAGTAATTATCTAGCAGTCAGCTAACACTTTTTTTAAATTTTTGTTTATATTTTTGACAAAATATTTTTACAATATTTTAAACAGTATGTATGTAATCGTTACGTAACAAGTAATGTTAATTTTAAAAAAACAACAACATATTTTGACATAATGTACTTACAGTGGCAACTACGAAGGTGAAGAGCCATATTAGATGCAGACTGCTACAGCGATCCGTGGACACGCCGCCGTGAGCTTCGTCTCCTCACAGTGCATATCCCATGTTATAGATTAATATTTTAAATATAGGCTACTTTTTAAAACATTCGTTTTGTTTCACATAGGTAAACGTTTTTACAAGAAATTAATCTCATTGTTCTTTGGAAGTCCAAAATAAATAACTGTTGAAGCATATTAAATTTTCATTTTTCAATCGTTTTTTATTCCTCGTTTTTTTTTTCTTATTGTAATTTTGACAGAAATTTCCACAAACACAATTAACAATTTCGTGTCATCTATGTGATACGTCATACGGTATGATAGCTTTAGTTTCAGCGTTATTTTCTGTATGGATTGCAAACTTTTGAAGTTTTTGGCACATCTCAAAATTAGATGGACATTTTAGAACCGATATGGAGAATTATTTGATTTAAACCATCTTTCCGTTTCGTTGTTAAAACAAGTTAAACCATTCTGAAGATGAAGAGGCTTTTTCAAACAAACGAGCAGTAATAGTGATCACGACACTAATCAAAATATGAGCCTAGCTTAATACTTAGGCTTTAGAGTAACCTTAGACATTTCCATAATTCAAGTAGCACAGTTTCTCAAATCTTACCGTAACAAAAGAAAAACACGGGCATAGGTTAGTTTACTAAAATTTCGTCTAAAATTTCTCGACTACCTTATCTGCTGGAAATGTAAAGCCTTTTTAAGTACGTCTATGTGTATCTGTACATTGGCGAGATTAGCTATTAATGAAACTGACCGCAGGAGATTATGAAATCTGAGATGGATTCGAACCTGATACGACGCCTGAGATTTTTTTGTGTTAATATTTATATGAGTAAGCAAAGCCTTGAAATCCGAGAAACACAATGGACTGAGATTAAGGTGTGTAAATTAAAAACATTTAGTTGTAATATTACTAGGTTCCTTCATTAGGTACACTAATCACAATACATTTCTGGCAGAGTAATTTATCGTAAAAGAACAAGATAATATCCTTTTATATAGCTAAAGCCGTCGCATTCAGTGTGGCTTAAGAAAGCAATCAGTTATTATGTTTGGAATAGAATTAAATAAAATGTGAAATTTTATCTTGTAAGCCAAACTTCTTTGAAGATTTGCTAGAACTATTTACTAGTGACATTAAGTAAAAGTAGATACAAAATTAGGCTATACTTGTAAACAATCTATTTTCCCCCAGAGAATTGTTCCTCCGGGCAGATAACCATGCTTTTTTTCCACACGACTATAAGCGGGTTGGTTTTACAGTGAGTACTTTAATCGATTGCTAATAAGTCTGCATATCTTATTTTCTCAATGAGATTACGTTTATAACGTATTTCTCGCTACATTGAATTTAGCACTGAGCCTTTATATAGGAATATCCATCAATTGTTAGTGATAAAGTATCCACATATGGTTACACCTATGCCAATGTCGTAGTCATACACAGACACATGCATATACACAAAACACGTAAACAGACACACGAACACTATGCTACCTTAACCATTAATTTTTTTAGTTGCGCTGATCCAGTGGTGTAGCGAGGTCGGGTGTCACTCGGTGCGGCACTTAATGGTGTCACCCCTCAGAGGCGTAGCGACCCTTCCCGGGGACAAATTTTCGATTTGCACCCCCCCCCCCCTCAAATGTTCGATTTGCACCCCCTCCCTCAAACTTTCGATTGCACCCCCCTCAAACCCCCCCCCCCTAAATGGTGTCACCCGGTAAGGTCCTCACCGCCCCCCCCCCCCTCGCTACGCCTCTGCGCTGATCCAAAATGTAATCGTCATCTTTTAGACAAGTGTAGACTGGGATCGGATTACATATATTGTGATCTCATTGTTACCTATGGTTATTTTGAGTCATGTTAGCAAATAAATCAATATTTAGGTGACCCGTCAAAAGAGCGCACGACAAAAGAGCGCCGACATAAGAGCGCAGACAAAAGAGCGCCGACATAAGAGCGCCGACATAAGAGTGCATCAATTTGCCGACAAAAGAGCGCCGACATAAGAGCGCAAAATAAAAATCGAAAAACCATATTTAATAAATAGGAACAAGAAAATTAAATCAGATCAGACGTCATCGTTTGAAGCTAAATCTTTATTGTTTCATTAAAAAACTAATTGTTCAGTTTCTTTAACTAAAAAACTTATATAATCAACATGAAGTCGAATTATTCAAAACACAACGTAGTAACACATACACAGATTTTAAAAGTTAGGCCTAAAGTGAGAATATAAACTGAAATGAAATGTTACAAAATGAAAATAAGTTCAGATTAATAAAATGTTTCTTTATAGTTGCATTTATAATGCTAAGTTGTGGGCTATACCCCGAAGGTAGTCCATCATTGAATCATTAGCATAGCTTGAAGCAATTGTCTGCAATCTTCGGTTCAGCTGAACATATTTGTTCTTTGAAGCTTCTGGTTGATTAACTCCAGCCAGATGACGTTCCAGTTCGATTTTGATGTGATCTTGTTCCAGACGAAACTGGTTGATCAATTTAAAAACGGAACGATGATTGCAAATATCTACCGTTTGTTGGAATGCATGATGCCATGCCTCGACTGAGTTGTTCGTACGTAGTAGATTTTCAGAGACAACATCGTTCATCATTTTCATCCGTCCTCGGCAGCCATCTTTCTTGCAGCATCTTCTTGTCGTACTTCCATCAGCATTTGCTTTGTCCTTTCGATATCTGTAGCCTTCGACCAAAATAATTACCTTCCCTTTCTGTGATTCGATCTTCTCCATGTTAATTGGGCTAGAAATATTTTCAAACTGCATTTATACCATATCAACCACAATATATAAATAAACACATGTCGTTTTATCGTACCGCCGATTGTTTAATGCCATATTTGTTTAGCTTACAACATGTGTTTTTATAATTGACTGCGCTCTTTTGTCTGCGCTCTTATGTCGGCGCTCTTTTGTCTGCGCTCTTTTGTCTGCGCTCTTTTGTCTGCGCTCTTTTGTCTGCGCTCTTTTGTCGGCGCTCTTTTGTCTGCGCTCTTATGTCGGCGCTCTTTTGTCGTGCGCTCTTTTGCCCAATATTTATGTGCAATAGTATTTACGAAAAGCTTTTAAGAATCGGATTAGTTAGGTCTAGGCAAATGCCTAATACTTAAAGTCCAGTCTGCAAAGTTTTGTGATTTTTTTTGAGAAAAAAAATGGATTCCCAAACACTGAGAGATATTATATTAATGGACGATTTCCTTTTAAAAACCGCATTTAAAATTAATTATAAAACAAACGAGACCGCCTACTTTCTTTAAATTATTCGTTATTATGTATAAATAGTATCGGAGTTTTTGAAGTATTTGATAGCGTATCACGATAAACTTAGAGAAAATAAGCGATATCCCATACACAAAAAATCACTTAAACCCTTAAGCACTAAATATTACAGGCACACACACAGACATACACACAGACATATGGACAAGATTGCAAAATTATGTTTTTCCGTATCAGTGAGACAAGATTGCAAAATTATGTTTTTCCGTATCAGTGAGGTGTAAAACGTCGAGATTTGCAAAAATCTCGATTTTTTTTTACACGACTACAAGACTTTCTCTATACTTCGTATATACGAGAAAGTAAAAATGTCTATCAATTATTTTCTACTTTTTAGTGCATTAGTACATAAAAGCGTGTTATTAAAACGTTTTTTATGAAATTTTTACAAGCTTTTATTTAACTCACTTCCTCGTCAGTCTGTCGTCAGTCTAGATCGAAGCGCCTGAGAGAAATTACAGGCACTTCTAACTGACAGATACGGTTCGTAATTAGTACGTGGGTCAAGACATGAAGACAATGCATCATGACATTCAATTTGACTTAATTGGTCGCCTGATTAATTTGAAGGAATTAATTAAATTTTGATTAAATTAGTAGGCAGTCTTATCCAACTACTCCATACTATTATAAAAGCATAATCATCGCGTTCAATAGGGATTCAACACAAATTGTACACTACTATTTAAATAACTATAAAGAAAAGCGTTGGTCCTAAATATTAGTAAAGGTGTCCAATAGATACTAAAGCTTTTCTTTATAGTTATTTTAATAGTAGTGTACAATTTATTTTCTTCTTTTTAGTGCTTTAGTTCGTAAAAGCTTGTTATTAAAATGTTTTTATGAAAAAAAATTAAATCCATTTTTAATTATTGAACTTTTTCAAACAGAATAAAATCTCGTAGAAAAAAGAATTGCGCACCACGTGAACGCCAAATAATGTGTGCATAATAGAGCGGAATATTATTAGTACTTTATAAATTCCTATGTATTTTTTGGGAAATCATATATTGCGTAAATTACTATTTCCTGTCAACAAAAATTACTCAAACGTTTAAAGAAGGCCGAGAATTAGATGTGTGCAAATTAGTTTATGTATCTGAAACAGTACTCAATTTTTATAGACTTTCGAAAAATTGAAGGTAGAATAAGGTCCACTTCTGGTTATAGATAATCTCTGAAATTTGATACTGAGCTACAAATTTAGTATAATACTTATATATGAAACTTCATCACCTTAGTCGTATCAGTATTCAAGTTATCTTGTTTACAGACACACATACACACAGAAAGACATACGGACAGAATTGCAAAGTCCAGCTTTTCCGACTCGCTTACGCATAATTCGCAAAAATTTTGATCTACATGGATTTATAATTTTTGCCCGATTAAAATAAGTCGTCTATAGGCCTACTCCGGATGTGATGAAGGACTGAGGAGAAAACTGTCAAAATTTCAAGTGATTTTTGTGCACCATTACAATACTTTCTCTTTACTCTGTATACGAGAAAGTAAAAAGCAAGCTTTAATTGTTACTAACTTTAAAAGTCCCGAGTTTGAATCCCAGATGAGGATTGCAAGCTGGTGACAGCAATCCATTTAGGAGTAAAAACTACAACAATAAATAAGTGCTGAGCTGTACATTGTTCTTTGATTTGACAAAGGCTAATGAGCCAAATCTAGCTAGAAAACTATACAGAAGACAGAATCAACTTTCACAGGATCCATAACAACAGATCTTATTTTGACTGAGTTTTCCATCATGTTTGAACCTAGTGGTTCAAATAAAAGGGAAACATTAAGGAAAACAACAAGCTACATAGTAAATGGGGAACACTGACTAACACTGAACCGCCTTCTACATGGTTCGAGTGGTCAGCACTATGCCCAGCCGCCTTTACTTTCTTTAACGTGAGCCAGGTAACAATTAGAGCTGAGATGACACATGGACGAACTCAAGACAGGGATCAGAACTGCAAACTGTATGGTTAGAAGTCGAACGTTATACCATCCGACCTAGCCGTCCGTACTATGTCACCTCGGAAAAAATCAATTTCCTGGTATTTAATCTATGCTGTGATCAGCCAAACAATACTACAAATTACCCACACGTCGTTTATTTTCTAGTGTATTTCAAACTTCAAACATGGTATCTTCAACAACTCGTTTTCTAACTCAAAGCTTTTTATGGATTTTTGTCGACAGCTTTCATACCATTAATCTGTAGGAAACATCTTTTTAGTCAGCCCAACTATGGCAAAACAAAGCATCTGTTTGATTTCAGCCAAACATTAAGGTGAAATAAATTATCTTTAGGTAGCATCTATTTTAGTCAGCAACTATGGTAAAACAAAGTATCTGTAGGTATTATCTGTAGGCATTATCTATTTCAGTCAAACACTACGGTAGAACTATACGAATTTACCAACATTTAAAAAACACGAAAACATAGTTCTATGTCATTTGCTACATTTCAAGTTAATCGAGTTTGCCATGTTTTTTAGAACAAATTTAATAATAAAGGATAGAACAGATTTGTAACTGTGTGTAATATTAATATACACCTATTAATGGAAGCAACGGTCTTTAAAATTTTAGTCTCAAAATTGAAGCTAATACTTTTATTAGTAATCTTAACCTTAGTTCGTCATTAACGGTTTAATAACGGCACATATTTTAGGTGTACACACTTAAATATGAAAAATTGTTAGTTTATATGTGTCGGCGTGGTCGAGTCGGTAGAGCTCATGGTTGCTAAACCGAAAAGTCTCGAGTTCGAACCCTCGGGCAGATGAGGCTCGTTAGCTGGAGACATCCACTCTTCTAGGAGAGACAAAATTAAACAACTGCTGCCTTGTAGTTTGTTCTTGGTTGGACAAATGCTATGGAAGCAAATCTCAAAAAGAAAAGCAGGCTGAAATCGGAGTCATTGGCATCAATGGCGCATAACCTGTTGACACGTACCGTTTAATTGTGTTGGAAGCGTGGTGGAGTCGGCAAAAAAGCTCATGGTTGATAAATTCGAACAAAGTCTCGAGTTCAAACCCACTGGCAGATAAATCTCGATCCCCTTCAACACTAATAATTAAGAACGAAGAAGAAGAAGAAGAAGTTAGCTTATATGATAGATCATTTCGTGTGTATTTCATTATTACAACGGTATGATATTGTGTTTAGTTGCGTTGAATGCGGATACGTTTTGGATAAGGAGCAGTAAATCAACGAAGTTTTTACTTTAAATAATATTTCCCATTTAATTTTCTGATTCTTTGTGTTGATATTGGGAGAATATGCTGACCAATGTCTATAATATATCTACTCAATTTCTGGCGTTGTTTTAACACTTTTATATTAAAATAATTTAACTTAAAAAGCAACTCTATCGTTGTATATATATATATATATATATATATATATATATATATATATATATATATATATATATATAATAAACCACTAGCAGTACCCGTAAACGTTATTGTTAATGTAAAATCGATAATATACGTCAGATAAGGGATGACAAAAAATATTCAGCGTAATTAAAAACAGTTTTAACTGTACGCCCTGTGATTCTATGCGCCTACGCGTTGTTTTTTTATAGTTGTTTTTGTGTATTTATGTTGATGAAATGTTAGTAAAATTCACAGACGTTCTGCCGCTTGCTTTCATACTAGAACAGATACTTTAATCAGGTGAGATACATTTTCATTTTTTATTTGCTCTGGTGTTTAGGGGAGTGACATCGTTGAGAGTATGTTTTCAATGATAGTTTGCTTAAAACTGTAGGCGATTTAGTGAATTTACTCACACACTTACGTAAACACGGGCCTCATTGGGATTGGGTGGCCGAAAATATAGCATTTGGCTGATGTCCCGAAAGTCTTGTTCTGATCTCGTTTCGAAATTGTGACTATTGAACGTCACTAAATCTACCCAGCTCTGATGGGTACCTGACTTAAGTTGGGGAAAGTAAAGCGGTTAGGCAATGCTGACTACACCATCCTTTCATATGCCTAGGTCAAGAAACAATTAACTTTATTCCTCTACCTAATGGATCACTGGAGAAACTTTAATTATTTAATAATCCGATTTTTTTAAAAATTATTGGCAATGTTTCACTTTGTCCATATCTTTTGGATGGGTGGAAATATGTAAATGACAATTTTGGTGTGGATGGTGTCTCATTTTAGACGGTGTAATATTGTAAATGTTGTCATTTTAGATGTTTTTATTTTGTGGATGTGACCATTTGTATGGAGTTATGTTGTGTATGTAACATGAACATTTTCGTAATCAGATTTCAATTACTCTATTAAAAATTGAATCAATAATAGCAGTTTATGAAAATTTAGTGGACTGCTCATCTATTGGGTGCATTTTACTCCCGCGAATATTTTTAGTCATCGTTAATTCTAATAAACCGGGAGTGATCACCCCTAAACTCTCTCGAATATTCTTATATAAAACAACAGGGGATGGGAACTTGGGATATAGACATGATTTTAATCCATTTTTAAATACTTAAACTTTTTAAAATAGAATAGAATCTCATAGAAAAAAGAATTGCGCACCAAGCGAACGCCAAATCAAGATTTTCATAATAGTTCGCAATATTTTTAGTACTATATAAATTTACATGCGTTTTTGAGAAATCGGAAATTAGTACTTCTTTTCAACAGAAATTACTCAACATTTGACAGAAGCTAGAGAATTAGATCTTTTACTTACATGTGAAATTTCATTTATCTATCTGAAATAGTACTTAAATTATAGGCTTTGGAAAAATTCAAAGTAGAAAAAGTACCACTTCCGGTTTTTGGAAATCGCTCAAAATTTGATGTGCATTTACGATTTTGATAAAATACTTATATATGAAATTTCATCAACCTAGCTGTGACGGTATTCAAGTTATCGTGTTTACACACATACAGACACCAGACACACAGACACACAGACATACGGACAAGATTGCAAAATTATGTTTTTTCGTATCAAGACTTTCTCTATACTGCGTATATACGAGAAAGTAAAAAGTAACCAAAAATTTATTTAAAAGTGTGTAATATCATAAGAAGAAAACAAAAAGCTTTCTATAAAAGAAAAAAAAGCAGCTAAACTTTAGCATATAGTCCTAGTATTGTTAAATTTAGATTCAGCAGATTCCGTAAAGCGTATACTATGTGAAAATAAAAGAAAGTTGCTTTTTTAATTTCTACAACAGCATTAGGCAATTCAGCTTGTTGTTTCTATAAATAAAAAGTTAATTTTGATTTCCGTCTATGAAAACAGTTTTTAATCTAGCCACCCACCATGAAGACCATCCTGTTGTTGCTGGCTGTGATAGCTGTGGCCCAGGCAGTCGTGACCTTGACCTTGTCGTCTGCTGATATTGAAGCGTTCCTAAAGTCTCACAACGACGTGAGGAATGCTCTAGGTATCCCGTCTTTGGTATGTTCATCGTGTTTGTATGTCATTTGTTGCTACCTCTGGTAAGTTAACTCTAAATAACGGCGAATCATAAATAGAATTAATATTTGAAATATTATTTCTCCAGGTTTTACACAACTAAAACATAACTTACGAGTCATTTCACTATAGTAGCATCATAAATCACATTAGTCTCACCTTTTAAGGTTCAGTTACACCACTTCTATCTTTATTAATAATTTTACACTAAACTCGATTTATTTTTTTATGTTTAGAACTTTTTAAATTTTTAATTGTGTGATTTGTGATTATATTAGAATCTTTTTCCATTTAAGGGGTGACACCAAGTCAAAAAAATTGCAAAATATATAGAAAAAAATTTGAGGGGTTGCAAATCGAAAGTTTGAGGGGGGTGGGGTGTGCAAATAAAAAAAAATTGAAAGTTCGTCCCCGGAAGGGGTGACACCATTAAGTACCGCACCGGGTGACACCCGACCTCGCTACGCCACTGAGCCTACTCATTGTCTTTGCAAAACATTTTTTTTCTAATTATATTGTACCATCAGACATGGGACACCAAACTGGCCGATTACGCAAAAGACTGGACATCAAGGTGTGTTTTTAAACACAGCTATGGAGATTATGGGGAGAACTTATTCGCAACTGGATGTAAGAATACCATGGTTAACCTAATTAAACATATATTAAACCATATTAAACACAATAGTACTAGTAGATCCATACCATATTTAACCCATTAGTACTAGTAGATCCATACCATATTTAACCCATTAGTATTATTAGATCCATACCATATTTAACCTAATAGTACTAGTAGATCCATACCATATTTAACCCATTAGTACAAGTAGATCCATACCATATTTAACCCATTAGTACAAGTAGATCCATACCATATTTAACCCATTAGTACTAATAGATCCATACCATATTTAACCCATTAGTACTAGTAGATCCATACCATACTTAAATTATCAGTAGTAGGCCCGTACCATTTTTTACCTAATATTAATGAACATTATTACCTTACAGAAATAGACCCATGCCATATTTTACAATACTGAGGTAGACCCATCTCATAATGTACCAAACGTGGTCGAAGTTGTGACAAATAACACGCCTGTCATGTTTCAGCTACGACCAAAAACGCCACTGAATTGGCCTATAGTAGCGCTTCAGCTTGGAAAAGTGAAGTGGCTTATGTTGACCCTGACTGGAAGTGTGTCGGTGGGAAACCTACCTGTGGTCATTACTCACAGGTGAGACGTCGTCAATAGATTACGTATCAGTGTTAAGATGTTTTAAATGATTATTCGTGAGATTTCACAAAACGCCTTAGATGAAATAGTAAAAACCTCATTAGTTAGACATAAAGAAATCACTAGTGAGACATAGAAAAACATAATTAGTGAGACACTGTAAAACATCATTAGTGAGACACAGGAAATCTGTTTTAGGGAGACATAAAACATCATTAGTAAGACACGTACGATTGCTATCTTACCTCTCCCGATTTCGGATCTCTAATGTCGTTAAACATTTTATGTTTTGCTAAAGTAAATTTCCTAGACTGCATTGTTTTAATAGAATTTTAGTCCTATTCCAGTTTTTTTTACTTAATAGCTGTTTTATTTTATTATGTTTAGATGGTGTGGAGAGATACAACTGCCCTTGGCTGTGCCATCACTCAGTGTGAGAATATTGCCAACCTGGTTTTTTGCACTTACAACCCACCGTGAGTTGATATTTTATTTTAACACTAGACCATTGTGAAAATTTTAGTTCACAACTTATTTTAATATTCGTTCTTCGTTGGGCATTAATCACAAGTTAATTTCAATTATATTTCCTTATATAGCCATGAGTAAACTTTTTAACGCTGAAGCATTAATAATCGTTTATAATACTTGCTCTTTATATAACCATAAACAGACTTTTCATTTTAATACTTGCTCTATAGCCATAAGTAGACTTTTTATTTCAATAATAGGTCATTATATAGCAATGAATACACACTAATTTCAGTACAAGTTTATCGCTGGACCAAAGGCTGTTATTATAAAATTATCATAATCAGTTGTATGAAGACAATTGTTACATTTTTTTGTACCAATAGACCTTGTTAATAAATCTCATCCACAATACTTTTAAAGTAAATCCTACACTAATACTGATGTTAGTGTTTGATTACAATTTTACAAGATTTTATTTTTTAATTAAGAGATACTGATCTTTAATATGTGCTATGTAAAATGACAAGCATAAATTACTGTATAATCTCTTTAGACTTACCATCAAACTGATTCTTTTTTTGTTGACTATGAATTTTAGAGTATAAATAACAAAAAAGTTGTTTCTTAATTTTTGTGTTAAAAAATATCATGACCGTATAAGCTTCTTAAGTTACTATAAGTAAACCCAATCTAGCAGTCAGCTAACACTTTTTTTTTTAAAAATGTGTTTATATTTTTGACAAAATGTTTTACAGTATTTTAAACCAGTGGCGTAGCCAGGATCGTTTCAAGGGGGGGGGGGGGGGTTCCAATTTTTACCCGGGGACCTTCGATTTGCACCCACCCCCCTTCAAACTTTCGATTTGCACCCCCCCCCTCATACTTTTTATATATATACCGAGGGGTTTATGGGGAGGGGGGGGGGTGATGACCACCCTAACCCCCCTGCCTACGCCACTGTTTTAAACAGTATGTATGTAACCGTTACGTAATAAGTAATTTATTTTAAAAACAACAACACATTGTGACATAATGTAATTACAGTGGCAACTACAAAGGTGAAAAGCCCTATTAGATGCAGACTGCTACAGCGATCAGTGGACAGGCCGCCGTGATTTCCGCCTCCTTCCAGTACACATCCCATGTTATAGATTTGTATTTTAAATATAGGCTACTTAGAAAAATTCGTTTTGTTTCACATAGGTAAACGTTTTTAAAAGAAATTGATGTCATAGTCCTTTGGAGGTCTTAAATAAATAATTGCTAAAGCATATAAAAATGTCATTTTTCAATCATTTTTATTAAATCTTCGTTTTTATTTCATTTTGTAATTTTGAGAGACATTTTCACTGACAAGAGGGCTTGTAAGTAGGTCACAACTTCTTGTTCTCGTCCTTGCCAGCTAGTAGATTTTGAGACCGTATAATTACAAGTCTTATCTGCAATTTCGTGTCATCTATGTGAGGCGCCATATGGCATGTTAACTTTAGTCTCAGCTTTATTTTCTTTATTGATTGCAAACTTTTGAAGTTGTTGGCACATCTCCAAATTAGATGGGAATTTTAGAACCGATATGGAGAATTATTTGATTTAAACCATCTTGCCTTTTCGTTGTGAAACCAAGTTAAACCATTCTGAAGATGAAGAGGCTTTTTCAAACAAACGAGCAGTAATAGTGACCCGGACACTAATCAAAATATGAGCCTAGCTTAATACTTAGGCTTTAGAGTAACCTTAGACATTTCCATAAAAAAAGTAACACAGTTTCTCAAATCTTACCGTAACAAAAGAAAAACACGGGCATAGATTAGTTTACTAAAATTTCGTCTAACATTTCCCGACTATCTTATCTACTGTAAAGCCGTTTAAGCCTGTCTGCTTCTATCTCTAGCTTAAAGATGTAACATATTGATATTAGGAGATTATGAAATCTTAGATGGACATGACGCCAGCTTTATTAGCCTAAGATTTTTTTGTGTTATTATTTATAAGAGTAAGCAAAGCCGTAATCTTGCTATTTTATCTTTTAGAGTAACTAAAGGTAATACAAAATATCTTAAGTTTAACTATTTTCCACATTGTAAAAATTCTAGACAAGTATGTTTCCTTATACAAAAAAATATCATATTGTATAAACACCTTGCTTGTTGCATTATAAGTGTTAAAAACATAAACATAAACTTTCTAAATAGAACAGGTTTTTTTTAGAAATGTTCATTACTAATAATGAATAGTTTTCAGCAAAATAAAATGTATGTGTAAGTTTAGGCGAAAATGACATCAGATAAATGAAATTTTTTGTGACATCTATGTTATATTTTTACTAGCTGCATCCCGTGCTCCGCCACGGTAAATCTTTTTTAAATGTACCAACTTGGGAACAGAACAAAACTAAACACAACACAAACGAACGCAAAAAAAAACAACGAAAAAACAAACACAACACTCATAACATAAACACAATTTAAATGCAATCATAAAGGCATTTTGCTCACAGTCTAGCCCGTAGCGCCAAAATCGCGCCCTTTCCGGTGATTTGCACCCCTTCCCCCCCCCCCCCCCCGCCCTAAAACTTTCGATTTCCACCCCCCCCCCCCCCTCGCAAATTTTTTCCAATGCACTTTGGCGCCCCCTAAGGTCGGCACCCGGGGACATATGCCCCCCCCCCCCTCGCTACGCCTCTCCTATAAAACCCGAAAGATAGAATAATAATTAGAAAACAGTATAAATAAAAGGGAGTATTTAAAATATCCGTGTTTTACCTACAATATTTTACTTTATCCATTCACGCATTTTTTTCCAGTACTTTAAATTTTAAAAATTTACAATAGTTTCATAACTAAAACCATTGCGCACCTAATGAACGTGATGCCGCGTCTATAATAGTGCTGAATAGTTGATTAAAAATTATAAGTAATAAACAATAGGGCCTATATTCAGTGAATAAAATAAATAAAAGATTGCCTTTTATCAATCCATGCTAATTATAATTTTCTAACAATAATTTCCTCTTACACATCCACATAATTTGCATTCACATTTTGCTAATTATATTATTGCAACACTAATTCCTTCTAGGACGTCCGTAGATTTGCATTCACATTTTTTTTATTAGCGTGAGTTAAATTTATTTTTAAATTACCTCCTTTGTCAAAAGTAGAAAAGAGTTAAATTCATTTGATTTTTCTAGCCTACAGTTATTATGTTATTAAAATGTATCCACTTTTTCTAGGAATATTAACGAAAACTATATTTGACATTGATCCTTTTAATATGTTTTAGCAATGTGCGTGTATTTAATATTCTCTTTACGTTATGCAAAATTGTACAAACAGTGGAAATTATAAAATAGCTCTATGCCGCTATATAAACAAACCCTACTCTATTACTTATAATAAGACACTGCGGTGCACTGAAAAGCACTTCATGGCGCGATGTTTACTTTTATGGTTCCAAAAGCTATAGCGATGACGGAAGGAAGGAAGGAAGGAAGGAAGGAAGGAAGGAAGGAAGGAAGGAAGGAAGGAAGGAAGGAAGGAAGGAAGGAAGGAAGGAAGGAAGGAAGGAAGGAAGGACTGACACACTACCAGCAGCGTTATATTATAGACTAGCTGCATCCCGTGCTCCGCCACGGTAAATCTTTTTTAAATGTACCAACAGAACAAAACTAAACACAACACAAACGAACGCAAAAAAAAACAAAAAAAAAAAAAAAAACGAACAAACAAACACAACACTCATAACATAAACACAATTTAAATGCAATCATAAAGGCATATTGCTCACAGTCTAGCCCGTAGCGCCAAATCGCGCCCTCGATTTGCACCCCTTCCCCCCCCCCCCCCCCGCCGTAAAACTTTCGATTTCCACCACCACCCCCCTCGCAAATTTTTTCCAACCCACTTTGGCGCCCCCTAAGGTCGGCACCCGGGGACATATGCCCCCCCCCCCCCCTTCGCTACGCCTCTCCTATAAAACCCGAAAGATAGAATAATAATTAGAAAACAGTATAAATAATAGGCAGTATCTATAATATATACAATATTTCACTTTATCCATTCACGCAATTTATTTCCAGCACTTTAAATTTTAAAAATTTACAATAGTGTTTCATAACTAAAACCATTGCGCACCTAATGAACGTGATGACGCGTCTATAATAGTGCTGAATAGTTGATTAAAAATTATAAGCAATAAAAAGTAGGGCCTACATTCAGTGAATAAAATAAATAAAAGATTGCCTTTTATCAATCCATGCTATTTATAATTTTCTAACAATAATTTCCTCTTACACATCCGAATAATTTGCATTCACATTTTGCTAATTATATTATTGCAACACTAATTCCTTCTATGACGAACGTATATTTGCATTTACATTTTTTATTAGCGTGAGTTTAATGTATTTTTAAATTACCTCCTTTGTCAAAATTAGAAAAGAGTTAGATTAATTTGATTTTTCTACCGTACTGTTATTATCTTATTAAAATGTATCCACTTTTTCTGGGAACCTAAACGAAAATGATATTTGACATTAATCTTTTTAATACGTTTTAGCAGTTTGCGTGTATTTAATATTTTCTTGACGTTATGCGAAAGAGTAAAAACCGTGGCAATTATAAAATAGCTCTATGCCGCTATATAAACAAACCCTACTCTAATACTTATAATAAGACACTGCGGTGCACTGAAAAGCACAGCATGGTGCGAATGTTTACTTTTATGGTTCCAAAATCTATAGCGATGACGGAAGGAAGGAAGGAAGGAAGGAAGGACTGACACACTACCAGCAGCGTTATATTATAGATAACATTAATTTTTACGAACCAAATTATTTAGTTTTAAAAAATATTTTTTCCTCAGTGGCAAATACATCGGCCAGCAGCCTGGTATTAACAGGTAAAATACTAGTCCATCAACCGTTTCCTGCAATAGGCTAAACTATCCATGTCAATGTCTCTTTTTATGTGATTCTCCTACAACGCTGATATCTTCTATGGCCTTCTGCTGAATTGTATTTTTGTATAGCTAAATATAACAATTTTTGTAGTAGAGATTTAATTTATTTATAAACTTACAGCGTGTTTACTATTGTTATATTTGATGACGTATTACTAATAAGAAAGAAAAAGTGTTTCTCACTACCCCTGAACAACACCAAAATAAAAATGGATTACATACATACATAATATATATATATATATATATATATATATATATATATATATATATATATATATATATATATATATATATATAAACTAGCCGTCCCGGCCAGGCTCTGCACTGGCATCTCTGAAAAACGTTTCTGTAAAGGACCATAACTTGTGTGTTAGGTAATCAGCATAAACCTGGCATTGCCCACCCTAACCACAACCCTTTAAAACACACAAAAACGCACACATAACACTAACACAAAACAAACACAAATGAAAACACAAAAAACAAACGCAAAAAAAAATCAACCACAAACACAAAGAAAACACAAACACTAACGCAAACAAAAAAGCAAACGAAAAAAAATCCAAATCCAAACGCAAACACAAACCCAACCACAACCAAACGAAACCAAAACACACCAAAAAAAAAACAACGAAAACATAACTCAAACACAAATACAAACACAAACGAAAACACAAACGCAAAGAAAAAAGCAAACGAAAACACAAACGCAAAGAAAAAAGCAAACGAAAACACCAACGCAAAGAAAAAAACCAAACGAAAACAAACCCAAAAGCCAAACCCAAACCCAAACACAAATCCAAACGCAAACACAACCACAAACGCAAACCCAAACTAAAACACAAATAAAATACAAACTAAAATACAAAAAATTATATAAAATCAAAGTGTCAACAGTCTAGCCCGGGGCGCCAAATCGCACCATGACGACGTGCAGAGTAACCGCCTGATTCAACTTAGTAAACGACACAACTTATTCATAGTCTTTTGAACTCACTTACGCGAACGTAGGTACCATTGCGAACACGAGAAGGCCCGGGGCCCCTAAAGGGTCCTAGGACCTTTGACCACAGGTGCTTTGACCATAGGGGGTTTGACCATAGGGGGTTTGACCACAGCGGAGCTTTGACCATAGGGGCTTTGACCATAGGGGGTTCGACCACAGCGGGGCTTTGACCATAGAGGTGCTTTGACCATAGGTGGTTTGATCATAGGGGGTTTGACCATAGGGGGTTTGACCACAGGTGTTTTCTCAGCAGAGGGTCTTTGATCACAGGTGGTCTATCAACTGGTGTTTGATCACAAGCGCTGTGTCCGGTTTTGATCATAAGTGTTTTGTCCACATAGGGTCTTTGATCTCAGGTGTTTTGTCCAGTGCTGTCCATATATGGTAAGGATTTATTTTAAAAGTTGCTAAATTATATTTTAAATTTCGACATGATGTAATAATATGGTCAAACAGATGTACTGACATATTTGCGTGCTATAGCACATCTGTCATTTAGTTAACCATTTTATGTATTACATCTTTGACTATATTGTTGGCAAGTTTTGTATCATTTTTTATCCTTTATATATGCTATGTATTTTCAAGTGCTTCTGCATTATTTATTTGTGAAACTTGTTACATGTCGCATTATTTGTGTTTCATTTATATTTAAAATATCAAACACCCGTTGATAGACCACCTGTGATCAAAGACCCTCTGCTGAGAAAACACATGTGGTCAAACCCCCTATGGTCAAACCCCCTATGATCAAACCACCTATGGTCAAAGCACCGCTGTGGTCAAACCCCCTATGGTCAAACCCCCTATGGTCAAAGCACCTGTGGTCAAAGGTCCGCGCACCCCCTAAAGCACCCTGTCGGGGTGCCGGAGGACGCCCGGATTTTATTCACTTAAAGACTATAGTAACCTTTCTTATCCATAGTCTATCGCACTGTTTAAAACGAAATTATGCAGCATAGCGCTCACATGATAGCCCAGGCTGCCAAATTGAACCGTGCAGGGGCGCCGGCGGACGTGCCTGTTTCAATTTAGTGAACAAAATTATAATACTCCAAGCTTATCCGTAAATGGAAAGAAATAAACATATAGGATATGTTGGCCCTGGCTTATTAAATGTTATTGATTTTAAAAAATAATTAGTAAACAGTATGTTCAGTGTATAGAATAAATAAAAGGCAGTATTAAAAATACCAACGACATTGCACTTAATCAATTCCCGCCAATTATGTAACTATTTTTTCCTAACACCAAAACAAAGTAATAAAAGGAAATTCTTTCTTCCCCCGATTTAATGGGTTTTTTAAAGGGAAGTAACTGTGTTTTCCAAATCAAGCGACGTTATGAGAACTACAGGACAGAATGCAAATATATTTCAGACACAATTTTAGAAATTTTATAAACTTTGATACATTTTGTTAAAATTTTATGTAATGTTCATAATTGAAAAATATTATTCTAAATATTTAAAATGAAAACTGTTTTGAAAGACTTTATATATTAATTTTTTAACTCATAAATTTAGACCATGAGCACTTAAATCATCTAACACTTGACTCCGTCGAAGTATCAAATTTTTTCGTCTTTTTGTTATATTCCTTTGTAATCCTCGATTACAAACATTTTACAAACAAACATACAGAATTGAACTTTATATATATATATATATATATATATATATATATATATATATATATATATATATATATATATATATATATTTATATATATATTTATATATTAGTATATGAGAATTTTCAAGGCGTATATTTTCGTGACAAAAAGATAATATGGCTGTGCGCTGGCTTGTAACACCACTAAAATTTCCCCTGAGAATGCGGGACTATGGACATCCAACCTACGTATTAACCATGCGGGTCTAAATCTATTATTGAACTGTCATGCTGGTATGGAACAGGATGGTCGAATGGTAGAAGACAAGAGCGATACCCTGAGTTTGGATTCAAGGCTAGAGTCAGACGTATATTTTTAATACTATGAAACGTTTGAGCATTGTGTTAACCTCAATATCGTTCATATGCTGAGGTCATATAAACAATTGAACAATATAGCCGTTAAAATCTCTACCTTCCCTCTCCCCCCATTCCTCTATATTTATTCCTCACATTCTCTCCCTATCACATGTGGTGGGCTTCTGGTTGCATATCTAACTCACTTATAATCGTTACAATGTAGCGAGTTACAAAATTTCCAAATTCCTGCAATAACTTACATTTTTAACAAAACAATATGTGTTTAAACGTGTTTAAGACATTTCACAAACGGACAAAGTTTTAACTCGTGCAATAAAAGATTGATTATTTATCCAATTTTAGAGCATTTAAAAAATCATCCTCGCGTTGTTACTTACTTTAAAAGTCCAGAGTTTGAACCCCGTGGCAGATGAATCCCGAAGCAGATGACGCTCGTAAGCTGGTGACAGCAATCTATTGAGGAGTAACAGCTACAACATTAAATAAGAGAAGAACTATACATTGTTCTTTGATTTGACAAAGGCTATGGAACAAAAAAAAGCTAGAACAGTATACACAAGACGGAATCAAATTTCACAGCTACCATAACCGTAGATCTTCTCTTGACTGAACATTGCATCATGTTTGAACCCGGTGGTTCGAATAAAAACCAAACGTTAAGGAAACCAGCAAGCTACATAGGAGATGGGGAACACAGGATAGCACTGAACCAGTGGCGGAACTAAAAAGAAGGGCCACCCCGCAAAGAATTTTTTTGGGCCCCATATATATATATATATATATATATATATATATATATATATATATATATATATATATATATATATATATATATATATATATATATATATATATACATTTATATATATATATATATATATATATATATATATATATGTATACGAAAATTTGATACATAGAATACTCATTTCGGGCTTCGAGTTTTTAAAAAAAATAATTAAAAATGCTTCGTTTTTATTAAAAAGTAAAAACAAGTTACACCACTTCTTTTGTGTGACTGCTATTAGTTTTTTTTTTTTTTAATATTTTTATTTTCTAATTTAAAACAAATACAGTAACATTCCACGCCGTTTGGGTGGATATTTACAAGGTAGTTTCATTGGTGTACATAGTGTAGTAAATAAATAGCGAAATAAGTAAATGAATGCATAAGATACATTGAATGTTAAAGCTTGTTGGTTCAAAAATTGGACAGAGGCTGGTTTGAAATATTTCTGCTAACAAAAGTGGTAAAAGAGTATAACGTATGGGAGAATAGTCATAAGCAAAGCTGGTTTGCATGAATTTTATCCCATTCTATACAAAAAGTAAAAAATATCGAAGAAAAATGAATACAAACGAATCGAAACTGTTGGGGTGACTGGGGAAATTTTCACTTTTGTTTGGTAGAAATTTAACGTAGATTTCATAAAGTGAATAACATATTTTTTTTTTTTTGCCTCAGACATGTAATATTTTATTAGATCTAGTCTGTTTTGATATATATATATATATATATATATATATATATATATATATATATATATATATATATATATATATATACATAATTGAAGTATGTATTTGTAAAGTAGCATTACAAAATATCGGCACACTAGTACTGGGCACACAATAATTTCAATCCAGTCTAATTAAAGATCATGTTGTACTTTAACTTCTGCTTTCTAAAACTTGAACATTTTCAGCTTCTGTCTTTTCTCTGAGCCGTTTTAAATTTTTAATCACTAACTTTAGGAGTTCATCACTAAAAATCTCTTCTAGAGCTGGAATAGCTTTTGGCAGACGTCCTAATGATCTAGGACAGACCTGCATGTTATCAAATGCTAATCCAACATTTTCTGGTAATGTAAGATAAAAAAGCGGAACCATATGTGGGTAACGTCGACTTCTTTCTTCTTCTTCTTCGTTCTTAATTATTAGTGTTGAAAGGGATCGAGATTTATCTGCCAGTGGGGCTTTGTTCGAATTATCAACCATGAGCTTTTGCCGACTCGACCACGCCTTCAACACAATTAAGCGTTACGTGTCAACTGGTTATGCGCCATTGAGGCCATTGACTCCGATTTCAGCCTACTTTTCTTTTTGGATTTGCTTCCATAGCCTTTGTCCATCCAAGAACAAACTACAAGGCAGCATTTGTTTAATTTTGGAGTTGTCTCTCCTAGAAGAGTGGCTGTCCCCAGCTAACGAGCCTCATCTGCCCGAGGATTCGAACTCGAGACTTTTCGGTTTAGCAACCATGAGCTTTACCGACTCGACCACGCCGAACCCTCTAACGTTGACTGAAGTGTGTTAGATTGATGTGTTTTGCCATCATCTGTTTACCAACATCAATAGTTCTGAAAATGTGCTGTGTTTGCTAGATAGAGCCTGTGGCAATAAATTGTCCTCATGAGCGGCTTCATTGATGAGCAGATCACAAGTTGCTCCTGCTTCAACCAAAGCCTTGCATGGCCGTGTATCTCCAGATTATACTAACTTGTATCCATTAGCATGCCTGAAAGCTACTCCATATGCATTGATGATATGATCAACTGCAATAGGGGTGAACTCAGTAAAATCCAGTTCTTTTTTAACATCATTCATGGTGGCGGTTAAGACAGAAAATGTATCACAATCTTGAAAACCTTGTATTTTTACAAACCTAAAAAGTGATTTGATAGGCTCCTGCTCTGTGTGGTAGAACTTCAACCACCTCTTCATTTGTATTGGGGAAATCAGTAAAACAGGAACAAAAGGTATTTCTTTTTCATCAAAGGCAAGCTTTCTCTCTTTTAATAATGAGAAAAGACCCAAATGATGATCAGTATGCATGTGTGATACAAACATTGCCTTGGTTTTTCTGAGAATTCTTTTAACTTTTGTTTTGCCATAAAAACGAAACAGCTGGCCATAAGAATCTTCACCAGAGTCCAATATAATAATTTTGCTTTTGCTTAACTGAACTAAAATGCATGACTGTGCTCTAATTCTGTAGGGTTTTGAAGATCCTGTGCCTAAAAATTCAACCTTTGGATAGCTGGTTAAGTTGTCCTGATCATTATCCAAATCTTGAGATTTTAACAGGCTTGATTTCTTTAACACAGTAAGCTTTGCTGATATATCAAGATTATCTAAGCAGTACTTCTGTTCTTTTTCTATACTTAACTCTGCTATGTCCATGTGGAATCCCAGCTCCTTTCCTCTGCATACATAGACAAGACCAGATGAAGCCAACATCACTTCTCCTTTCTTTTTTAAATAACTATTCTCTTTAGCCTCCCCCTCCTTAGTATTAGATGCTGCGCTAGAGGTGTTTGATTCTGACTGTGTGTCCAGTTAAGCCCTGCTGACTCTCAGAGTCTCTAGACTAGCAGGAGTGTCACTCACTGGTAACAAAGGAAAGATTTCTGTATCAACCAAGTTCAGCCTGGCCTGATGAGCGAACACCCTGGTCACCGCAGCCTCGGGAGAATCTTTGTTCATCACCAGATGGTCAGTGCTCTTATGTAACCTATTCAACCATGACTGATATTCCTCGCTGTTATACACATTGATAGGTGACATATGCACCACTAGTGAAAATGCTTGGTCTGTATTTTCTCTTAGATACCCCTCAAGCTCAGAACAAGCAGACAATGAATTAATAAACTCCTTTCTTGGACATTCTAGAATGAGAAATGGTCGGTCATCACACATCATATTATCTGTTACTTGTTCAGGGCGCACAACTCTGCCATCTTCTAACACAACAGATTCCCCTCTCTGTAGTTTACCCACCATTGGGCCAATATTGATACCAGCATCCAGACACTTCTCAACATTAATTTTTTGTGACAGAGGTTTTGCCTTATTAATGTATGCATAGGCAACATCCCTGCTTTCACTGGTATAGGTAGAATCAGTTTTTACTCTTTTATCAGGTCTGGGAGACTCTAAGTAATTTTTGTCTTCTTCTGATGTTAATAGATCAGCGCAAAATGGGACTGGTGTTATAGTAAGACAAAAATCTTCATGAACTCCCGTCGCCTTTCACTATATTTAAGTTTGTCGAATGTGCAAATTTTTTTGCCATTGGAGTAATTTTTTCCACATCAGGAGGACCATAAATGGTAATGTGAGGATTGGTATCTAGTTTCATACTTGGATTTTGCCCTCGTAATTTATAATTTTTTTTCAACAGGATTTTTTTGACCTTCCAGGGTCATAGTCATACCCATTAATCCTTCAGTATTTTCCAAACTTTTGTAAGTAAAAAATATGGTTTGCAGACCAGCGAGTTTAGCAAATGCTGTAGATCTTAACTCCTTTTTCATTCCGCCGTGTCTTTGAGTTCCCTCCCCACAGTTGAACAAGTATCTAGAATATTCTGTTGTGATGAGAATTGATTTGGAATTGCCTGGTTCTCCCGTGCCAATAACAAAAACATTGATTTTATTTGGTACTTTCAATAGCTGTTGAAATTCGTTAATACCCTTCATCTTAGCCTTCTGAGATGTGACAGAGATATTTTTATCTTTGTTTTGTTTTGTTGGTCGAGTCGGTAAAGCTCATGGTTGCTAAACCGAAAAGTCTCGAGTTCGAACCCTCGGGCAGATGAGGCTCGTTAGCTGGAGACAGCCACTCTTCTAGGAGAGACAACTCCAAAATTAAACAACTGCTGCCTTGTCGTTTGTTCTTGGTTGGACAAAGGCTATGGAAGCAAATCCAAAAAGAAAAGCAGGCTGAAATCGGAGTCAATGGCCTCAATGGCGCATAACCAGTTGACACGTAACGCTTAATTGTGTTGGAGGCGTGGTCGAGTCGGCAAAAAGCTCATGGCTGATAAATTCGAACAAAGTCTCGAGTTCAAACCCACTGGCAGGTAAATCTCGATCCCCTTCAACACTAATAATTAAGAACGAAGAAGAAGAAAGAAGAAGTTTATCTTCATCTGGTTCTGATTTATTTTGTTTTAACTTGCTTTTTCCGTGTCTTGCCGTTGTTGCTGGTTGTTATTCATGTGTTACTGCAGTATTAGCACTTCTGGTATTGTTTGCTTCCAGATCTACTCTTTTAAATTTGCTGTTATGAACATTTTTGTTCAGACATTGAAATAAAGCAGAATGAAATGTATCAGCTGTAGCATTAAACGGTTTGAAAACAAAATGATGGTTCGGCTTATTTCTACAATTAGATCTAGATCTATAGTAATTAAAATTGCAACACAAAATCACAAGCGAAGAAATCCTAGGCTTATGAAATTCATTTGCAATGAAAGTCATAGAATGGCGATTAGCATGCTGTTGCAATGGGATTTGTATTGTGTCAAAACTTGAGTCACTATAACTAGACAGCCGACTTAATAATCTTCTTGTAGAATAAATTTTCCAAAAAGACATCTGTTTTTAAAAACGATAGATCCAGGTTAAGATCTAGTAATTAGCAATAGATATTAGATCTAAATAAGATCACCAATGCACATTTTCCGCAGTCTGAACCAGATTGCATTCACACGAGTCTGTTTTTTTTTATTTGTTTTGTTTAAATTTAATAATTTCTTTTACAATAAAAAAAATTACTGCCTTATATCACCCTTTATGCTTAGACTATTTTACATGTGACAATAAATAGAGAAAAAAAACATCTTTCACATACATACAAATTGTGCTGCCTTTTGGTTTAAAACACACACAAATGCATTATTTTCTTTCATGTCTATCTAAACATTAACTATATTCATATTTCACTATTGACTTATCACAAAACTCAGTCAACAAAGTCTTTAGAAATGTACAAATTCATAATTACATTTCATCCTATTGCCAAGGTAGAATAAGTGTATGACTTAAAATATCACATCTAGATATTAATTGTGGGTATTAGGTATAAAATTGCTTCAAGCATCATCTTCGTTCATGACCTCCATAATTTCAGCATCCTTGGGTTCAGTCATGTCTATTCGTATACCGACATAAGTACGGAATCTAGGTGAGCCACCTTTGGTATTTTTCTTGAAATTCGTAAGTAATGATGGTCCCAATCTTTGGTGGGTTTTTTCTATCCTTATTGTTTAACCCTGACCCAACAGAGAATTCCTTCCCACAAGCCATTCGACATCTGAGTGCTCCACACAGGCCAGGGTTAGATTTACTATCTTTATGTCCTATGACAATGGCCTCTGCGTCATAAAACTTCTTTATCTTGAGGAGCGTATTGGACCTTGTGGCCTCATATTTAGACAAAGATTTGCGAATCATTAACCCCTCGCCTCCCATGTTGAGAACTTTGGTTAATTTTTGCTCTAAATGTTCTGTACTTTTTCACTTGACTTGCTCAACAAAAACAGCATATTCTGGTTGGTGCTCTTCAAGGTAATCCCTAATAATGTTCATTCTCTTCTCAAAAGTTTCCTTTACCATTCGTGGTGAGTCAAACACATGGTATTTGATGTCTTTCCACTTGCGACTTTCAGCAGTCTTTACAATGCTGACTTTTTGATAATCTCCGTTTTAATGTTTGCTATAATGTCCCCCTTTAATAAGTTAGTCGAAATAATATGAAGCATGAAAGCTGTGTATGTGTAATGGTTTCTCGCCCTATGTTTATTTTTATGTTTTTTTTTGTATTTATATTATTAGTTTTAAATACATTTCTGTTTTATGCTTTGTCATTCTTTATTATGTATTTTTTAAAATAATAATTAAGAGAAGTCATTACTTTTTAATTTGTTTAATGCAAATCTATTAAAAGGTGCTTAAGAGCACACATATTTGACTATTTAAAAAAAGGGAAATAAGTCATGGAAGTGGTTTGAACGTTTGCGTATCTTTCACGCGATGGATTTATTTTCAAAAGAATTGTGCCGACAACAGCATGTGTGATTGTATGAGTCTATGGATACTCGAGATGTCCATAGAAGAAAAAATAATAATACAGCAGCTGCAGTATTCTTTTTACAAAACATCCATCAAGTCAAAAATGCAAGAAGATTATTTTTTTAACTGTAAAAAAATTGATTATGGTCGGCTGCGGGCCCTTAAACGTCCCCCCCCCCTGCGGCACTGTAGTTCCGCCCCTGCACTGAACCACCTTGCCCGTACGGTCCATGGGGTGATTGACTTGATGTACCACTTTTTCATTGACCTAATATAACACTTTTTTCACTGATCGAGTGGTCAGCACTATGCCCAGCCGCCTTCACTTTCTTTAACGAGAGCCAGGTACCAATTATAGCTGAGATGACACAAGGAAGAACTCAAGACAGGGAACTGAACTGCAGACTGTAGGGTTAGAAGTTTAACATCTACACCATCCGACCTAGCCGCCCGTACTAAGTTACCTCGGACAAAAATCAATATCCCTGATGTTATCTACGCCTTGATCAGCGAAACAATACTACAAATGACCCACAGATCGTTTATTTTCTAGTGTATTTTAAACGTCAACGATGGTATCTTCAACAACTCGTTTTCTAACTCAAAGCTTTTTATGGATTTTTGTCGACAGCTTTCATACCATTAATATGCAGGTAACATCTTTTTAGTCAGCCCAAATATGGTGAAACAAAGCATCTGTTTGATAGCATCTATTTCAGTCAAACATTAACTTGCAACAAATTATCCGTAGGTAGCATCTGTTTTAGTCAGCAACTACGGTAAAACTAAGTATCTGTAGGTATTATCTATTTCAGTCAAACACTAAGAAAAAAATAAACGAATTTACCAACAAATGAAAAACACGAAAACATAGATTTATGTCAATTGTTACATTGCAAGTTTAAAGAGTGTGTCATGTTTTTGAGAACAAATTTAGCAATAAAGGATAGAACAAACTTGTCTATGCGTGTACTATATATATATATATATAAATATATAAATATATATATATATATATATATTTATTTATTTATTTATTTATTTATTTATTTATTTATTTATGGAAACAGCAGTCATAAAAATTTTAGTCTAAAAAAAAAGCTAATACTTTTATTAGTAATCTTAACCTTAATTCCGTCATAAATTGGTTTATAATGGCACATTACGTATTTTACGTATACACACTTTCGTTTTAAAAATTGAAAGCTTAAATGATAGATCATTTCGTGTGTATTTCATTATTACAAAAATAACGATATTGATCTAATACATATTGTATTCACTAACGCGAAGGTGAAAGTAGAACGGTATGATATTGTATTGTGTTGCGTTATAAGCGGATACGTTTTGGATACGGAGCAGTAAATCAACGAAGTTTTTATTTTAATAATATTTCCCATTTACTTTTCTGATTCTTTGTGTTGATATTTGGAGAATATGCTGAACAATGTCTATTCTATTCTACTTAATTTCTGGCGTTGTTCAAGTTCATATAAACTCGTGTTTTTTAACACTTTCATATTAAAATAATTTAACTTAAAAAGCAACTCTATCGTTGTATATATATATATATATATATATATATATATATATATATATATATATATATATATATATATATATATATATATATATATATAATAAACCACTAGCATTTCCCGTGAACGCCATTGTTTGTAAATTCGATAATATACGTCAGATACGGGATGACAAAAATTATCCAGCAGTAATTAAAAACAGTTTTAACAGCACGCCCTGCGATTCTATGCGCCTACGCGTTTTTTTTATAGTAGTTTTTGTGTATTTATGTTGATGAAATGTTAGTGAAATTCACAGACGTTCTGCAGATTGCTTTCATACTAAAACAGATACTTCTATCAGGTGAGATACATTTTCATTTTTTATTTGCTCTTGTGTTTAGGGGACTGGCGTCGTTGAGAGTGTGCTTTCAATGATAGTTTGCTTAAAACTGTAGTTGATTTAGTTAATTTACTCACACACTTACGTAAACACGGGCCTCAATGGGATGGGGTGGCCGAAAATATAGCATTTGGCTGATGTCCCGAAGGTCTTGTTCTGATCTCGTTTCGTACTTGTGACTGTAGAACGTCACCAAATCTACCCAGCTCTGATGGGTACTTGGTTTGAGTTGGGGAAAGTAAAGCGGTTAGGCAATGCTGACTACACCATCCTTTCATATGCCTAGGTCAAGAAACAATTAACTTTTTTTAAATTATTGGCAATGTTTCACTTTGTCAGTATAATTTGGATGGTTGGAAATATGTGGATGACATGTTTTGGTGTGGATGGTGTCTCATTTTAGACGGTATAATATTGTAACTGGTGTCATTTTAGATGGTTTTATTTTGTGGATGTGGCCATTTGTATGGAGTTATGTTGTGTATGTAACATGAACATTTTCGTAATCAGATTTCAATTATTCTTTTTAAAATTAAATCAATAATAGCAGTTTATAGAAATTTAGTGAACTGCTCATATATTGGGTGCATTCTACTGCCGCGCATATTTTTAGTCATCGTTAATACTAATAAACCGTGAGTAATTTCCCCTAAACTTTCTCGAATATTCTTATATAAAACAACAGGGAACTAGGGATATAGTTATGATTTTTAATCAATATTAAATAACTAAATTTTTAAAAATAGAATCTCATAGAAAAAAGAATTGCGCACCAAGCGAACGCTAAATAAAGATGTTCATAACAGTGCGCAATATATATTAGTACTATATAAATTTACATGCGTTTTTTGCAAAATCGAAAAAAGTGTAAATTAGTACTTCCGGTCAACGGAAATTACTGATTGTTTGACATGTAAAATTTCATGTATCTATCTGAAATAGTACTAAAATTATAGGCTTTTGAAAAATTCAAAGTAGAAAAAGTTTCATTTCCGGTTATCGGAAATCGCCCAAAAGTTGTTACGGATCTACGATTTTGATAAAATACTTATATATGAAATTTCGTCAACCTAGCTGTAACGGTAATCAAGTTAACGTGTTTACACACACACAGACACCAGACACACAGACACACAGACAAACGGACAAAAATGCAAAATTTTGTTTTTCCTATCATTGAGGTGTAAAACGTCGAGATTTGCAAAAATCTCGATTTTTTTTTTTGCACGATTACAAGACTTTTCCTATACTGCGTATATACGAAAAAGTAAAAAGTAACCAAAAATTAATTTAAAAGTGTGTAATATCATAAGAAGAAAACAAAAAGCTTTCTATAAAAGAAAATAAAGCAGCTAAACTTTAGCATAATAGCCCTAGTATTGTTAAATTTAAATTCAGCAGATTCCGAAAAGCGTATAGTATGTGAAAATAAAAGAAAGTTGCTTTTTTAATTTCTCCAACAGACTTAGAGAATTCAGCTTGTTGTTTCTATAAATAAAAAGTTTATTTCTAGCCACCCATCATGAAGACCATCCTGTTGTTGCTGGCTGTGGTAGCTGTGGCCCAGGCAGGCGTGACCTTGACCTTGTCGTCTGATGACATTGAAGCGTTCCTAAAGGCTCACAACGACGTGAGGAATGCTCTGGGTATCCCGTCTTTGGTATGTTCATCGTGTTTGTATGTCATTTGTTGCTACCTCTGGTAAATTGACACTAAATAACGGCGAAATATATATAGAATTCATATTTGAAATAATATTTTTCCAGATTTTACACAACTAAAACATAACTTACTAGTAATTTTACTGTAATAACCACATAAATCAAATTAGTTCCTCCTTCTAAGATTTTCGTTACACCAGTTTTATCTTTATTAATAAGTTTACACTAAACTTCATATGTTTTTTTACTTCTTAGTGCAATTTTTCCATTTTTACTTTCTTGTATATACGAAGAATAGAGAAAGTCTTGTGATCTTACACAAAAATAACATGAAATTTTGACAGTTTCCACTGTTTTACACCTCAGTCCTTCATCACATCCGGAGTATAGAGGACTTATTTTAATCAGACAAAATTATAAATACAAATATATAAATATTTTGGCGTTTTGTGCGTTATCGAGTCGGAAAAACTGGACTTTGCAATTCAGCCCGTATGTATGTGTGTGTGTGTGTGTGTGTGTGTGTGTGTGTGTGTGTGTGTGTGTGTGTGTGTGTGTAAACACGATAAATTGAGTACCGTTACAGCTAGGTTGATGAAGTTTCATATATAAGTGATTTATCAAAATCGTAGATCCCTATCAACTTTTGAGCGATTTCCGATAACCGGAGGTTGTACTTTTTTTTCTTTGAATTTTTCAAAAGCCTATAACTTGAGTAATTTTTCAGAAAGATAAATGAAATTTCACACGTAAGTAAAAGATCTTATTCTCTACCATTTGTCAAATTTTGCGTAATTTCCGTTAAACGGAAGTAGTAATTTACACTATTTCGGATTTCTCAAAAAACGAATGTAAATTTTAAAAAGTACTTATAATATTCCGCACTATTATGAGCATTTTATTTGGCGTTCACAGGTGTGCAATTCTTTTACCTACGAGATTTTATTCTATTTTAAAAATTTTAAGTATTTAAAATGGATTAAACTTCATGTCTATATCTCGAGTTCCCATCCCCTATTTTTTTATATAAGAATATTCGAGAAAGTTTAGGGGATATCGCTTTATTAATTGTGTGATTTGTGATGATATTAGAATCCTTTTTCTTCAAAATATATTATTTTTATATGAATTTTTGTGTAAAAAAAAAACAAAACAAAAAAAATCAGAGTAGCTTTTTATTGGCTACCCATAAAATTGCAGTCGATATTATTTAAAATCTACACGTCTATGTCCGAATTAAAATACACATTTGGTTTTACAATCAGGGAATATCCACATGCTAATTAACGGAAATCCGTTGAAGTGCCCTTTCTGATAAACACAGCGAATAATTTTAACCTGTCTCTATCATTCATTTGTTGTGGAAGGTACATCGTTGTACCTTATACCGGGGTAGGGGAATCGGGGGGTCGGGGTCTAATCATTGTCTTTGCAATACATTTTTGTTTTTCTTATTATATTGTATTATCAGACATGGGACACCAAACTGGCCGATTTCGCAAAAGACTGGATATCAAAGTGTGTTTTTGAACACAGCTATTGTGATTATGGGGAGAACTTATTCGGAACTGGATGTAAGAATACCATGGTTAAATTAACAGGAGTACACCTGTGCCACATTTAATCTCTAGTACTAGTAGATCCATACCATATTTAACCCATTAGTACTAGTAGATCCATACCATATTTAACCGATTAGTACAAGAAGATCCATACCACACTTAAATTATCAGTAGTAGGCCCGTACCATTTTTTACCTAATATTAATGAACATTATGACCTTACAGAAATAAACCCATGCCATATTTAACCATACAGAGGTAGACCCATCTCATAATTTACATCACGTGGTCGAAGTTGTGACAAATAACACGCCTGTCATGTTTCAGCTACGACCAAAAACGCCACTGAATTGGCCTATAGTAGCGCTTCAGCTTGGAAAAGTGAAGTGGCTTATGTTGACCCTGACTGGAAATGTTTCGGTGCGTCATTCAGATATGTCTGTAGTCATTATTCACAGGTGAGACGTCGTCAATAGATTGCATGTCAGTGTTGAGACTTTTTAAAGACTTTAAAAAAAATATATCACCCATCACTAGTGGTATGCATAAACACAAGTATTATTAAACGTTTAAACATCATTAATAAAACATTAAAACGTTATTATTGAGATCTACTATAATATTATGTATTAAACAATTACATGATAATTATCGAGACATTAATCATCACTAGTGAAGAACGAAAAATAATGTATTGTTAAGGTATTATAACATCACTGTTCTGACTTTTATAAAATTTGTTAAGACATTGATAATTGTGAGACTCATTAAATGATTAATAGTAAGATTTCACAAAACGCCTAGATTAAAATATTTAAAACCACATTAGTTAGACATCAAGAAATCATTAGTGAGACTCAAAAAACATCATTAGTGAGACTTTAATATAATTATTGAGACACAGGAAAACATGTTGAATGAGACACAGGAAATATCATTAGAAAGACACGGAAAAACATCATTAGTGAGACACAGGAAAACATCTTTAGGAAGACAAAATATGATTAGTGAGACACAGGTTAACATCATTAGTGGGACATAAAACATCACTAGTTAGACTCAGGAAACATCACTAGTGAGACACAGGAAAAATTTCAGTTACAAAACAATGTAAAACTTCATATATGAGTCTCATGAAAACATCATGAATGTAACACAGGTAACATCATTAGTGTGAAACGGGAAAACATCATTAGTGAGACAACACATCACTAGTTAAACTCAAGAAATATCACTAGTGAGACACAGGAAAACATCATGAATGATACACAGGAAAACATCCTCAGTGAAACATAAAACATCCTTAGTTAAACAAAACACCCTTATTGAGACATAAAACATCATTAGTGAAACATAAACATCATTAGTGTAACATAAAACATCATTAGTGAGACACATTAAAAACATCCTTAGTTTAACATAAAATATCATAAATGAGACAGAGGAAAACATCATTAGTGAGACATAACATTTTTTAAACATCACCACAAATGTAATTCAACAGTTTCCCGATTCAACTTAGTTTCTTTTTAAAAACAACTCATGTATACATGCGTTATTACTTGTAATGTCTTACTTGTAATGAAACTGTGAGGTCTTGAGCTACAGTAAATTTTTCTTCCAGAAGTAAATTTCTTAGACTGCATTGTTTTAATAGAATTTTAGTCCTATTCCAGTTTTTTTTACTTAGTTAAAAGCTGTGTTATTTCGTTATGCTTAGATGGTGTGGAGAGATACAACTGCAGTTGGCTGTGCCATCGCTCAGTGTGAGGATATGGCCAACATGGTTTATTGCGTTTACGACCCATCGTGAGTTGATATTTTAACACTAGACTGACTAGACCATTGAGGAACTTTCAGTTAGCAACTTATTTCAATATTAGTTCTTCGTTGGGCAATAAGCACACGTTAATTTCAATTATATTTTCTTATATAGCCATTAGTAAACTTTTTAACGCTGAAGCATTAATAATCGTTTATAATACTTGCTCTTTATATAACCATAAACAGACACTTTTTAGTTCAATACTTGCTCTTTTATAGCCATAAGTAGATTTTTTATTTCAATACTAGGTCCTTATATAGCCATGAATACACACTAATTTCAGTACAAGTTTATTGCTGGACCAAAGGCTTATATTATATAATCATCATAATTGGTTCTATGAAGACAATTGTTACATATTTTATTTTACCAATAGACCTTGTTGCTTCTGCACCCAATGAATTAGAGGCGTAGCGAGGGGGGACGGGGGGGGGGGGGGGTTAAATATGTCCCCGGGCGCCGACCTTAGGGGGGGGGCGCCAAAATGGGTTGGAAAAACAAATCGAAAGTTTGAGGGGGGGTGCAAATGAAAAGTTCGAGGGGGTTGCAAATCGAAAGTTTGAGGCGGTGGGGTGCAAATCAAAAGTTCGAGGGGGGGGGGGGTGGGGCTTGCAAATCGAAAGTTTGAGGGGGGGGGTGCAAATCGAAACTTTGTCCCCGGGCGCCGGGAAGGGTCGCTACGCCTCTGCAATGATTACAAACTTAATTAAAAAGACTAATCAATTTTAATTTGTTTTTTACTTTTTTTTACAACACAAGCCAAATAAAGTTTACACTGACACAATGTAAACACGATTATACAGTATGTTATTTGTATGTCACTAACATGGTTTTTTTAATCCTAACTAACGTTGTATGTGAATACATATCCTCATCCACATTACTGATGTTTTTGTTTGACTACAATTTTAACAGATTTTATTTTTAAAAAAAGAGATACTGATCTTTAATATGTGCTAAGTAACATGAAAAGTATAAATCACTGTATAATCTCTTTAGATTCATCACCCAAACTGATTCATTTTTTATTGACAATGAATTTTAGAGTATAAATAGCAAAAAAAATGTTAATTTTTGTTAATTTGTGTTTATATTTTTGACAAAATATATTTACAGTATTTTAAACAGTATATAAGTCACAATCACGTACAATGTCTTGTTAATTTAAAAATTATACAATTTTGACAAAATATATTTACAGTATTTTAAACATAATGTTTGTAACAGGCACGTATCAAGTCTTGTTAATTTAAAAAAAACATTTTTGACATAATATATTTACAGTATTTACAACAGTATGTGTGTAACCGTACGTACCAAGTCTTGTTAATTTAAATAAAACCACATTTTGACAAATATATTTACAGTATTTACAACAGTATGTATGTAACAGTTACTTAACTAATATTGTGAATTACAAAAAACATGTCATAATGTATTTACAGTGGCAACTACCGTGGGCAAAAGCCCTATTAGGTGTAGACCGCTGCAGTGATCAATGGAGACGCACCGTGAATTTCGCCTGCATACAGTGCACGTCTCATGTTATCAAATTTACTGAGAAATATTCGTTTTCTTTCTCAATGGAAAACATTTTTAACATGAGATTATTATCATTGTTATTTGGAAGTCAAAAATAAATAATTGTTTATGCATATAAAATTGTCCCTTTTCAATCGTTTTTTTCTCAATTGCAATTTTGAAATGAATTTCCTCCAACACAATCAAGAATTTCGTGTCAGCCACGATTTATGCGGCATTCTACCTGTTGACTTTACTTTCATTTTTCTTTTCTTTATGGATTGCAAACTTTTGGAGTTAATTCATAACATGAAATATTAGCGCATCTCAAAATTAGATGGACTTTTAAGAATCGACGTGGAGAATTATTTGATTTAAACCATATTTTTCTTTCGTTGTTAATACAATTTAATCTACTCTAAAAAAATGATGCTTTTCAATCAAATAAGCATCAATAGTGATCACGACACTAATCAAAATATAAGACTAGCTTAATTCTTAGACTTCAGAATAACCTTAGATATTTCCATATTTCAAGTAACACACTTTCACAAATCTTACGTTAACAGGAAAAAAACACGGGCATAGGTTAGTTAACTAAAACAGACGGGTCTGATAAACAGAATTTCGTCTAAAATTTCCCGACTACCTTATCTGCTGGAAAGGTAAAGCCTTTTAAAGCCTGCCAGTATGTATTTGTATCTTGGCAATATTACATATCACTGAAACTAAGCGCAGGAGATTATGAAATCTGAGATGGATTCGAACCTGATACGACGCCAGCTTGTAGCCTAAGAGTTTTTTGTTTCAATATTTATATGAGTAAGCAAAGCCTTTAAATTAGAGAAACACAATGGACTGAGATTAAGGTGAGTAAATTAAAGACAGTTAGTTGTAATATAGGTTTCTTCATTAGGTACACTAATCACAATACATTTCCGGCATTAATTAATTAATTATAAAACATTTTGTGGTAGTGTAATGTCTCGTAAAGAACAAGATATATATATATATATATATATATATATATATATATATATATATATATATATATATATATATATATATATATATCTAATATATAAATGTTGTAAAATGTTTGTTTGTAAAATGTTTATAATCGAGGATCACAAAGAAATATAACAAAAAACGAAAAAAAAATGATACTTCAACGGAGTCAAGTGTTAGATTATTAAAGTGCTCATGGTCTAAATTTATGAGTTAAAAAATTACTATTGAAAATCTTTCAAAACAATTTTCATTTTATATGCTTAGAATAATAATTTTCAATTATGAACATTACATAAAATTTTTTTAAAAAGTGTATCAAAGTTTATAAAATTTCTAAAATTGTGTCTGAAATGTATTTGCATGTTGTCCTTTAGTTCTCATAACGTCCATTGATTTGGAAAACACAGTTACTTCCCTTTTAAAAAACATGAAATCGGGGGAAGAAAGAATTTACTTTTTATTACTTTGTTTTGGTGTTAGGAAAAAACATAATTACATAATTTGGGGACTGATTAAGTGCAATGTCGTTGGTATTTTTAATACTGCCTTTTATTTATTCTATACACTGAACATACTGTTTACTCAAACTGTTTACTAATAATTTTTTAAAATAAATAAAATTTAATAAGCCAGGTCCTACAAATCCTATATGTTTATTTCTTTCCATTTACGGATAAGCTTGGAGTATTATAATTGTGTTCATTAAATTGAAACAGGCGTGTCCGCCTGCGCCCCTGCACGGTTCAATTTGGCGCCCTTGGCTATCACGTGAGCGCTATGCTGCATAATTTCGATTAAAACAGCGCGATGGACTATGGATAACAAAGGTTACTATATTCTTTAAGTTAATCAAATCCGGGCATCCTCCGGCACCCCGACAGGGTGCTATTTGGCGCCCCGGGCCTTCCCGTGTTCGCAATGGTACCTACGTTCGCGTAAGTGAGTTCAAAATACTATGAATAAGTTGGGTACTATAGTCGTTTACTAAGTTGAATCAGGCGGTTACGCCGCACGTCGTCATGGTGCGATTTGGCGACCTGGGCTAGACTGTGGACACTTTGAGTTTAGATTTGCGTTTGTGTTTTCTTTGTGTTTGAGTTTGGGTTTGCGTTTGTAGTTGTGTTTGCGTTTGGATTTGGGTTTGGATTTGTTTTCGTTTGCTTTTTTTCTTTGCGCTTATGTTTTCTTTGCGTTTTTGTTTTCGTTTGCTTTTTCTTTGCGTTTGTGTTTTCTTTGTGTTTGTGGTTGTGTTTGTGTTTGCGTTTGTGTTTGTACTTGAGTTTGTGTTATGTTTGCGTTTTTTTTGTGTGTTTTGGTTTCGTTTGGTTGTGGTTGGGTTTGTGTTTGCGTTTGGATTTGTTTTCGTTTGCTTTTTTGTTTGCGTTAGTGTTTTTGTTTTCTTTGTGTTTGTGGTTGGGTTTGTCTTTGCGTTTGTTTTTGTGTTTTCGTTTGTGTTTGTTTTGTGTTAGTGTCATGTTTGCGTTTTTTGTGTGTTTGTTTGGTTTTGGTTAGGGTGGGCAATGCCGGGTAAATGCTGATTACTAAACACACAAGTTATGGTCCATTACAGATACGTTTTTCAGAGATGCCAGTGCAGGGCCTGGCCGGGACGGCTAGTATATATATATATATATATATATATATATATATATATATATATATATATATATATATATATATATATATCATAGCGATTTAAGAAAACAATCCCTCTTATTTTTGGAATAGAATTAAATAAAACGAGACATTTTCCCTTGCAAGCCCAACTTCTTTGAAGATTTGCCAGAGTTATTTCCCAGTGAGATTAAGTAAAAGTGGACACAAAATTAGGCCAAACTTCCATATGTAAACATTCTATTTTCTCTTAAGATAATTGTTGATACGGTTAAGTAACCCAGCTTTGTTTCTATACGTTAATGAGTGGTTTTTTTGTTTACAGTGATTACTTTTATCGAGCGCTAATATATGTCTATCTTACTTTCTGATTAGCATTAAGTTTATAACGTATTTCTCGCTACATTTAATTTAGCATTGAGCCGTTATATAGGAATATCCATCCAGATTTAGCGATAAAGTATCCATATATGGTTACACCTATGCCAATGTCTAAGTCATACACAAACACATACATATGCACATAACCCGTACACAGACACATACATACACACATAACACGTACACAGACACAAACATACACATACACAATGCTGTTGTAACATTAATGTTTAGGGTGCACAGAACCAAAATGTTATCGCCATCTTTCAAACACATGTGGACTGTTATCAGATTACAAATAGTGTGATCTCATCCTTGCCGTGGGTCATTATGAGCCATGTTTGTAAATAAATCAATATTTATGTGCATTTGTAATCGCAAAAAGCTTTTAAGAATCGGATGACTAAAGTCTAGGCAAATGGCTTATACCTAAAACTCAGTCTGCAAAGTTTTGTAATTTATAATTTTTTTTTTTTGAGAAAAGAAAAATAATGTATTCCTAAACACTGCGAGATAATATGTTAATGGACAATTTCCTTTTGAAGAACGCATTAAAGATTAATTATAAAACAAACCTGACCGCCTACTCTCCTTTATGTAAAGTCATTCAACTGACTGATAATTTTTCGTATAACATTGAACTTAGAGAATATGCCTTCAGAAAATAAGTGTGCGACATCCCTTACAAAATTCATGTAAACCCTTAGCACTTAACATTTTTTATACGTGAGTAAAATAATCCTAAATCTTCACCACGACAGCTAAATTATAGTTTTATCCAGATATCATCATCGAAACAAAGCAATTTCAAAATCCGTACTTTTAAATCTATTACAAGTTCTTTCTTCAAGGTCACAATATGAAGGCTCTTATCAGGCTTGTGATCACGCTGGCCGTGACACTTCCTTCCGTGACACAAGCTGCTGGCGTGACACAAGCTGTTGGTGTGACGGTCCCAATGTTTACTGTTACCAAAGCTGCATTCCTAAAGTCCCACAACGACGTGCGGGCGGGTCTCAGACTCCCACTACTGGTGAGAACATGGTGTAGAATCACTTGCAGCAGCGTAGCGAGGGGGGGGGGGGCGGGTGGGGCATATTTCCCCGGGCGTCGACCTTAGGGGGGCGACAAAATGGGTTGGAAAAATAAATTGAAAGATTGAGGGGGGTGCAAATTGAAAGTTTGAGGGGGGAGGGGTGCAAATCGAAATCTTGAGGGGGGGGGGGGGGGGGGGGCAAATCGAAATCTTGAAGTGGGGTGCAAATCGAAAAGTTTCTCCCCGGGCGCCGGGAAGGGTCGTTACGCCTCTGATCACTTGTATCTTTTGTTTTGTTTATTTCAACAACGTTTTTTGGACTTAAAAAATAAATAAAAAATTAGTTAATTTTATTATTAAGCTTTTAGCATCGAAGACTACATTAATGAATAATTTACATTTAAAAAAGGGTGAATAAAAATAAACACGAACGTATTGTATTTGCTAAGAATAAGATGGCATATGTTGGAGTTTGCCTTTACGAACATCACGATAAATAAGAAAATAATTAAGTTTTTTTTTTTTTTAAAGTTGATTCCAAATTATATTGAAAGTTCACAAGCTTTGTTTAAAAACCACAGAGATGGAATAATACGCTTGCTGAGTTTGCTAGGGCCCACACATCCAAGTGTGTGTACAAGCACAGTTCTGGGCCGTACGGGGAAAACATCTACAAGTCAGATCGTAAGTGGCCAGATTAATTTGGCTAAAATCTGGTCAAATACTTGTTCTATTTTCAATTTTGTTATACTAAAACAAAATGTTTTAAAAAATATATAAATATATTGTTTTTTTTTAAATAAAATATTGACTCAATCAAAAGTTAACCTTTATGTTATACTGAAAGGGTTAACTATACGGGATTCTGTATCATATGAATGCTAGTTCATCCCAAGTTATTTCTAATCTTCTTTATATTCAATGACAATGAAAAACATAGATATGCAGTCTTCTTTTAAGTTAATGTCTGAGAGTGAATAGCCTGAAGTACAATACCTTGCAGCACTAAACAGAAACACCACAGATCTGGCAGTAAAAAGCACAGCCTCTTGGAGAAGTGAATCGAAGAGAGTAGACTTTCCTACTTGGAGATGTATCTCAGCGACGCCTTCTTGCGGCCACTATTCACAGGTAAAAATATAACAAGCACATAGAGATTTAAAATTCAAAAATATTGACGTTATTTTAAAGGACGGTGTGGTCGAATGGTAGAGCGTTCGAATGCTAACACGAAGGTCTCAAATTTAGGGCTCGGCCAGAGGCGTAGCGAGGGGGGGGGGGCGGGAGGGGACATATGTCCCCGGGCGCCGACCTTAGGAGGGGCGCCAAATTGGAAGTTTGAGGGTGGTGCAAATGAAAAGTTTGAGGGGGGTGCAAATCAAAAGTTTGAGGAGGGGGGTGCAAATGAAAAGTTCGAAGGGGGGTGCAAATGAAAAGTTCGAGGGGGGGGGTGAAAATCGAAAGTTTGTCCCCTGGCGCCGGGAAGGGTCGCTACGCCTCTGGGCCCGGCTGGAGTCCATAAGACGTCTGAGTCAACCCAGCTCTTATGGGTACCTGACTAACGTTAAGGAAAGTAAAGGCGAGGTTAATGACATAGGGGAACTCTACTTCATCTGCCACATGGACCGTAAGTTCTAACATGTACTTTACTTGCTTATGTTATTTTGAACTCTTGTATTTGAATTCTTGTATTGCTTGAGTATTTATTAACATTATAGAATAAGCAGTTTAGTGTTAAGGTTTAGGTCAATTGAATTTGTTGGGATATTACTGTATATAACAGATCACTAGGCTTTAGGTTTATCGTTAGTTTGACTTAGACATTGCTTATATTTGCTATGATAAAGCATAGGCGTAGTAACGGGGGACGGGGGGGTACATCTGACCCTGGGCGCCGACCCTGGGGGCGCCAAAATAAGCACATTTTAGGTTCTATTTTGAATTATAAATGTAAATAAATATATGGGGGGCGCCAAATTAAAGTTTGTCCCCGGGCGCCGGGAGGGGTCGCTACGCCTCTGTGATAAAATTCAATTAATTTCAAATATTTTATTGATACATCTCTGTTTTTCTAAACAACAAAGACATGTTATTATAACATGATTTTTTTTCTCCATTAAGCAAAACAAAATGCTTAGCTCAAAGGTATTTAATAAAAATGATTGAAGCCCTAGTCCAAGTTTTTTATGTGACCACAGATGGTGTGGGGCAAGACGACCCAGATCGGATGTGCGATCGCCCAGTGTGTGAGCGTGGCCGGGGTGTCACCAAACTTGGTCGTGTGTGAGTACAGTCCTGGGTGAGTGCTGGTCATATGAGTCGCACGTGCCTTACTTGCAGACGTTATTGAGTCTACATCGCTCATTGATGAGTTCAACTGAGTTCACTTCGATCTTGTTCATATTTGTTTTAGATGCATTTAAAGTAGTCATATTGAGGTCATATTCATCAAGACCATTATTGTGGACAAACTACAAGGTTTTCCCCAGCATGTTCCTTATACGATTTTTAAATTTCATCAATTGTATTAATCTGATTAAAAAATTGTTAGACGCAGCTTTATACTGGTTATATAAAAAGTAACTCAATTAAACCTGCTAAATCAAATATGATCTAAAAGAGTTTTAAAATATCATACACAAATGTCAGTATCAAAAGAATGCTGAAATGCTATACAAAATCAATCAATCAATAAATCAATATGGAAATATATTTTTTTTTGTATGCTCCAAACACACACACACACACACACATATATATATATATATATATATATATATATATATATATATATATATATATATATATATATATATATATATATACATATCTATATATGCCATGTATATTACATAAAAAAACTCAAAAGATACTGCATCTAAGCCATGTATATAAAGGTATAGTTCGACCCCACATAATGAATTTGTACTGTTAATGAATTCCTTACAGTGGTAACGTTGTTGGGCAGATACCTCATTAACTGCTATGAGACAGAGGTTGTAGACACGCCTCAGACAACAAACATATTGTGTGAAGTGATGTTCTCCATTTGGCTGGTTTATATGTCTTTAATTAAGTGTATGGAATAAAATTACATGTAACACAATCGCATCAGTTTTTTTTTAAATATTTGTCGCACAACCGGCTTTGCTGATAGTATGCACAGCACAGCACACAAACACCCACGATCACATACACACAACCACTCACACATACACGCACATTCATACACATCTCACACACACTCTACGCATACACTCACTTACACTTACGCACATATTCACAAACACACAATTATACATACATTCCTATGAATACAATCACATACACAGAATCACACAGAATCACACACACATTAACACATACACACACGATTTACCCCCACACAACGCACATGCACACACACTCACACACATCCACACACACATATGTATTACATCTGCTTGATCAAGGGACGTACACGTCATCAATGCTCGTATTTTTCCATCCCCAATGTAATAAACCGCCAAACCTGTGGGGCCGTCAAACAAAACCTCACAGCTGCAGGATAAATAGGTTCATAGCTGCAGGATGAACAGGTTCATAGCTGAAGGATAAACAGGTTCATAGCTGTATAATGAACAGTTTCACAGCTGCAGGATGAACAGGTTCATAGCTGTATGATGAACAGTTTCACAGCTGCAGGATGAACAGGTTCATAGCTGCAGGATGAACAGTTTCACAGCTGCAGGATGAACAGGTTCATAGCTGCAGGATGAATAGGTTCGTAGCTGCAGGATGAACAGGTTCATAGCTGCAGGATGAACAAGTTCATAGCTGTATGATGAACAGTTTCACAGCCGTATGATGAACAGGTTCATAGCTGTATGATGAACAGGTTCATAGCTGTATGATGAACAGGTTCATAGCTGTATGATGAACAGGTTCATAGCTGTATGATGAACAGGTTCATAGCTGTATGATGAACAGGTTCATATCTGTATGATGAACAGGTTCATAGCTGTATGATGAACAGGTTCATAGCTGTATGATGAACAGGTTCATAGCTGTATGATGAACAGGTTCATAGCTGTATGATGAACAGGTTCATAGCTGTATGATGAACAGGTTCATAGCTGTATGATGAACAGGTTCATAGCTGTATGATGAACAGGTTCATAGCTGTATGATGAACAGGTTCATAGCTGTATGATGAACAGGTTCATAGCTGTATGATGAACAGGTTCATAGCTGTATGATGAACAGGTTCATAGCTGTATGATGAACAGGTTCATAGCAGTATGATGAACAGGTTCATAGCTGTATGATGAACAGGTTCATAGCTGTATGATGAACAGGTTCATGGCTGTATGATGAACAGGTTCATAGCTGTATGATGAACAGGTTCATAGCTGTATGATGAACAGGTTCATAGCTGTATGATGAACAGGTTCATAGCAGTATGATGAACAGGTTCATAGCTGTATGATGAACAGGTTCATAGCAGTATGATGAACAGGTTCATAGCTGTATGATGAACAGGTTCATAGCTGTATGATGAACAGGTTCATAGCTGTATGATGAACAGGTTCATAGCTGTATGATGAACAGGTTCATAGCTGTATGATGAACAGGTTCATAGCTGTATGATGAACAGGTTCATAGCTGTATGATGAACAGGTTCATAGCTGTATGATGAACAGGTTCATAGCTGTATGATGAACAGGTTCATAGCTGTATGATGAACAGGTTCATAGCTGCGGGATGAAGAGACTCACAGCACGCAACCTGCTGGTGTAATCGTTTTACGTATACAGCCACCTCGGTTAAAACACAACAGTCTATTGCATGCTTTTCTCAATGGCCTAGTAGGGGATTGTAGTCGTCTATTGTGTAGCTCAGTTTTAATCCGTTTAACATGAAGCAATTTTTTTTTCAAACATTTCAGCTAAGTTTAACTTCAAGGGACGGGGGACTATTTTTTTGTATTTTGTTCTATGAGCTAAACACAAGAAGAGTAATTAAATAATATTCTCATTACGATCTTCGTTAACAAACGGGGAGTCAATTGAGTAGAATGATCACTTGATGAAAATTTAGTCTCAAGTCTGAAGTAAATACATTTATTTTTAGCTATGAGTGTTCTTTGAGTGTTCTTTTGTAATACATTGTTTCAAAATATAACATAAATATACACAATGTAGTTTTTATGTAAGGCAGTGTGAAGAATTATGTAGAGATATGCATTACTACACCTTTCATCCGATCGCCTTGTAGCTTTGGGAATTTGTTGAGAATGCTCCTGTGGAGGTTTCTGCGGAGGAAAAAGTTTAAATGTGCAGGGGTGGCGCCTGGTAGGGAGCGATTCGATCCTTCTATAAATACGGTATCTAAAATAAGTCAAATGCTATGGCTCTTACCTTCGTTTTTAAGGAGTGCGATAGAATATGGAGACATGTGGTATTATGGTCATTCAATAAAACTGAATCAGGCGCACCCGCCGGCGCCCCGGTATGGTGGGATTTGGCGCCCTGTGCTATACCGTGAGCACTAAGGCGCCTATGTTAGTTTTAAGGAGCACTCTATAATACTGACACGGTTGCACACAACATTCGTTGATTGAACCAAGCCAGGGACCGTACGTGACCTCCCTGCGCCCTGCTACGTCCTTTACCTCTTGGCGGTCGCCGAAGTGTGTTCTAACTCACTATAACTGAGAGTGATTAACTACACACAAGGCTCTCATAGACCACGCCAGGGGCGTTCTGGGCGGTAGTGTAAGTAAACCCTGGCCCCGACAAATGTGATCCAAGAAATATAGCGCAAGCGTTGTTTACATTTAAATAACTCACTTTTAGAAAAAAAGGTTGTCGCCTAAGAATATAGGATTGGTAACGTATTGATGAAACCATCCAAATATATTTCGTCAGACTCTCTTCTAAACACGCGGCAAAGCGCGAGGACGGGCACGCTAGTTTTATTTAAAATACCATAAAAATCACACATACTCCTGAATTGTCTAGCTGGTTAAAATTTTTAAACTACATTGGCCAAATGGTAAGACTTTTTTTTTTCATCTATCTCACCCACCCCCCACCCCCCCCCCCCCCCCCGCCATCTTTAGGAATGTATGCAAATTAAGAAATAAATACCTTAGCGGTATGCAATTTTAATTTTAGAACGTAGCGGCTGCTTCTAACACTTCACTTTCAATTTGCATTTGTATATTTTATGTTATAATGCAGATTTGAGAGCGCACATCAGATAAAGAACAAAACAAAATATTATGTTTTAATTAAAACATAATGTAACTATTCGTACATTGGCATAATACGCCTACGTGTTGAAAATGTATTTAAGTGGATGAAATAGGGATGAATATGAGTGAACTTTTTCAGCTTGTCTTCATACACGAGGAGATAACTCAGTCGGGTGAGAACATTTTCATTTCTTAATGGCCACAGGGTTTAATTTTATAATTTTAATACATTGTTCAGCGCAGTCTAATTGTCGAGGTATGAGGGATTAACATTGACTAAAAACTATGGTCGATTTAAATGCACCTAACATCTGGTCGAATTAAGACTATTCTGATGGTTGTGTTGTTAAAACTCATGAACCCAGTTATTAAAGAGGTGTATTGTTGAATTTCAATTGGTGTTAGGTGTTGTCTTATGCATGGTGTCATCCTTAGTCTGGTGCTGTCTCTTGTACGGTGCTATCTTTTGTATTCTGTCATATTTTGTATAGTGCTATATTTTGCATGGTCCCATCTTTTGTTAGGGTAATCAGCAAAAGTTTTTAAATTGTTTTTCTTAATTACTGTGCCTTCACTTTTAATATTTACACATTAAAATTGTAATTTTTTTTTGCTGCAAAAGTAAAATAAACGAGAAGTCCAAGTTGGTAGAAATATACATGAGTTAGTATAAAAATAATTTTTTGTTGTACTAAAACACGTACGCACCAATTTCTACCTTCGTAAGTAGGTTGAACACATCAAACACCTGTTAATAAAACAAGTCATTAATTTAGGTCGATTCTAATTACATTATCGATTGTGCTTTGTACTCCAATTAAACCGGTATAGGGGCCTACTTTCGTAACTCTTTTCTTTTTTTTTCTTCTATCAAAGTTAATGAACAGATTGCCTATTATGTAAGTACATTCTTATTTTTTGATGTTGTTGGATATTGCAGTGTTCGTGTAAATATAGTAGTCATCAAAGATTTAGAGTTGTGAGTTTTTTACTATTTAATTTTTTAAAATAAATAAATAAATATAAAGTCTCATGTGTGTGTGTGGTATATGAGGTCGTCCTTAAATGACGTCACACTCGTAGGGGAGAGGGGGGTCTGTAATTTTGTGACGGTGTGTGATGAGGGGGAGGGGGGGGTTCAGATGGTGCGACGTCACACTTTTGCATTATAAAAAAGCAATGTTAGAAAACGAATTTTAGACGTTATTTTGCGTTTTACATAACTGTTTTAATAAATTGTAATAACAATTGATTAAAATACTCTATTTTGACAGAGTTCAGATAAGATTTTGGAAAATATAGCTGTTTAAAAAAATTCAATTCAATCTTGAGGGGGGGTGGTGTTGTAGGCTGAGGTGTGACGTCATTTTAGGGGGGGGGGATCTGGCTATTTGTGAAGACGTGTGACGGAGGGGAAGGGGGGCGGGGGTAAAAATCGTCAAAAAAGCGTGACGTCATTTATCGGATGACCCCTATGACCTTTTACATATGACATATAGGACCGCTAAATTGTAAACAAACCCAAGTGGTTTAGAGTCGTATCCTGTAACGTTAACCTATCTATCAGCCAAATAGAAGGAGAACGTCCCCGGATTCTTTTTTCGGGGTCATATGCAAATACCTTACGGCCTAAGTGGATGAACCTTAACACAACGACACACTAGGGCTCGAATTCAATGTCTAGGGAAGCTAGTGATACTATTGTAATTAACACTCATCCAATCTACATATAACCTTTAATCAGCGAACACAGTAGTGGCAGAACACAAGGTTGAAACTAGATA